CGAGTACCACTCCAGGAGTCGAGGAGCCTGAACCACCTACGCCTGAGCTTGATCCGCAAGACTACAAGGATGGGGAAGGTCGTTCAGTATCCCCGACGAAAACATGGTCGCACTACCCGACATCGAATCCAGATACTGAAGAACGGAAAAGAGCTGCCAAGCGCAGTGGGCAAGGTACAGCAACCGCTTCCAACTGGAAAACCGCCTATGACAACCTCAGAAGGGTCAGAGCACGCGCAGTGAGCCAAAAGGTGTGCTATTGTTGTGGTTCAAACCAACATCACCTGGCTATTTGTCCCGACACTGAGAAGAAGGACGAGTTGATGAACTCATTCTCTTACATGGAGGACACTATGCGCAAGTGCTTCACCGAGGACGACAAGGCAATCATCCGACGTGATGTTGAAAGCCGAAAGAGGAAAGCAAAGTCATCCAAAGACGTCGAAGACGAGGACTACATGGATGTGGATGATGAAGATATTGAACTTCCCGAAGAAGAGCCGGAACTAGGAGGTAAGGTACCACCTCACTCTCCGAGAGCCAAAGGTAGACCACACTCGTCAGACTCTGCGAAAGAGGAATACGCGAAAGCGGTCGAGGCAACCAAGAAGGCCTTTGGGAACGCCAGTTTCGTCACCAGATTCAAAGAGCCCGTCGACCTCTTTGACATTGCCGATGACAAAGAAGGAGGAGAGTACAGGGTCGCAAATCACAGGGTTGATAGATCAGGTCCTAATGGAAAGTGGGAACTTGATGCACTTATTCAGGAGGCTGCAGCACTCGGAATAAAGATGCCCAAAGTGAAGGACCTTGCTCCTGACCCACAACAAGTTCAAAAGGTTGGATATCGGCAGATTGAGGTGACTTGCGATAGAGGAAGCATCGAGATCATTCCACAGTATGGAGTTACATTCTATGTGGAGTACTGGAATGGACCGAAGAGAGATGCAACTTTCACGGATCCACCAAAGATGAACCCAGCAACTCGCATCGACAAGTTCAGCGAGGAGAGTCAGCGGGTTAACGAGGTTAGCCATAGACTCAATAGACTACTCAGGCATGGAGTGGGAAAGCATAATGGGATTCAATCGCACCGCGGTCGAAAACCTCATGTGTCCCCGAAGTGCAATGAGGGTGGATGGGTGAACATCGATGAGATCCTGGAATATGACCATGTCTTCAGCGATGGTGTCGATATCAGTAACTATCTCAGGTGATCGGCATCGTCAAGATGTCAAGACAGAGCGATACCAGTATTTATGCAAGGCGATGTGGCATGCAAAGAAGTTGCAGAACAGAGTACGCTATCAGATTGCCGCCATTCGTATCTCAAGGGAGGATGTCTCACTCGAAGAGGAAAGGCAATACTGGGCAAACCTCATGTATTACAGCACAGATGCACCGTCATTTCTGAAGCATGAACGTTGGATCGTTCCTTGTGCAATTCGAGCTGTTGCCTCTCACAATTCTGGAAGAGAGACTGTTCTTGAAGAGGATGTGTCAATATATCCTGTGTGGACTTCACATCTCATTCCAGAGAATGTGGCAATGCAGCTTGGAGGAAGCTTTCACATGACATCGCTTTCCAATATTGAGTCAATCATGAAACTAGGAATTGTCCCTGGTGGAACGGAGGGATATAGAGGTAGTGTTTTCTTCAACCACTTTGCGCCGTGGGATGATCGATCATCAAAGATTCTGAGATCAAGATGGCCAAGAGTGGGAATGCCCGTTTGCCTTTATGTTCCAATCATGACTTTGAGGAAGCTTGGGGGAAGAATTTCGGAGAATTCCTACACTGTTGTTTTTAGAGAAGTTCCATGGAGATGTGTACGAGGTGCTTGGTATTGGGACGACCACGTTCAGGCATGGAGGAGACTCCTGCTGGGAAGCACTGGAGAGCAAGTTGTTCTAGCGGCACGTCATGGACTTTGGGTTGCTCAGAAGCATACCATCCTCGAGAGAGCCGACGAAGTCACGAAGTCAGCCTCGGCGACAGATGACAACGTCCAAAAGCTCGTGTCCCTTATCGATGAAGTACGATTCGATGACAATGGAGAGCTGATCGAGGATTCCATCAGTGAGGAAACTTGGGACGAAATCATCTCCAGAACATGTGAAGGGTATCGCAACGTGGATGGCAATATTTTGTGTCCATCATGTATGCATTTGACTTCTTCATCTTTGTCCGTGTGTCTATCTTGTCAAGGCAGGCTACTCTCGTGTGGTATTCGTAACACTGTCATTTCCGATTCACCCGTTGATCTTGTGAGCGACGATGAAGAGGAAAAGAAGGAAAAGAGGGAGCCTGAACATGATGATCAAGATATATTGGACCAGGCCACTATGGACGAGATCAGAAAGGCTTGGGAAGAAGACATCGCTCAAACTGAAGCAGCTGACGACGACGAGGACATGGACAATCTAGATCCTTCCAAACCGTCTGATGGTGCAGAAAACTTCAAGAGTGACAATGTCGAGACCCCATCTTTCAATGAGGACGAGATCGACTACGGTCGTGATTCTGATCTAGAAGATGAAGACGAACGAAACGTGATCATCGAGATCCAGAGGAGCACACAACAATATGAGGGGAAGAAACGTCAAGATGGTGAGCCCGAGGATGAAGACGTCACCGACGACTTACATCCGGAGGCGAATCGACCGACAGATCGCGATGAACCGGGATACTATGCACAGCATGGAGCGACCGAGTTCAATCCCGAAGAAGGAAGAGACAACGAAGATCTCCCCATCTATTGTCGAGTACCGGAACCTCGAATCTATGCGCATCAAGAGAGAGCCTACTGTCAGGACGTCTCCATGAATGCATCGGGTTTGATGGATAGGTATGTGGTCAAATGTGTGCTGAACATGATCTCCCTGATGTACAAGAGCTACTATTGCACCAGCCTTACCGACTTCAAAGCAAATTGGAAAAGGAAGCGCCTGGATGTGATAAGCAAGTTCGGTACAGGGGATTCCACTGAAATCGATGACGATGGGAGACCATTGGATCCAACAGATGATATGATGTTAATCTTTGCCAACGACAACAATATTACGACTGAGGAGGCCTGGCACCGATTCAGAGGAGAGCAATTCATTTGCAAGGTGGCACTCGTGATTCTATCATTTGGTCATACTCCGCAATCCTTCAAGAGGGATTATGGCAACTTCGAATACCCCACCAACTTGACTGATGCCCAGCTTGAGGAGTTGAAAGCGAAGAAAGCCAGCGCAATGACTGAATTGGTACAGAAGTGCATCCATGCGATTTATGGGTGTCGGACATATTCTTACTTTAGAACCGACATTACATCACCCTACCACAAGGTGATCGATCCTCTGGACATCATGTACTCGAGAATGAAGAGCAAGTGGGAGAAGTCTATTCTGTTGATCATTGATCAACATGAAATCAGGTTGCCCCCACAAGCTCAGGAAGTCATAGAGTCAATGGCCAGAAACCCCAACGTTGGACATACAGAGAGATGGATGAGCGTGGTAGAACATAAGCATGTTCAAGCTCTTACCAATCGTCTAGGCTTTGGAGATAGGGCCAAGGAGATTCAGGGCAAGAAGAAGCAGGCAGCCAAGGCAACAGCTAAGTCAACATCAACGACTAAGTCTGAAGCGAAAGCAGCATCTTCGTCAAGAGCTGAGGCAAAGCCAGCATCTACACCCAGAACCGAGGCCAAGCCGTCGTCAGCACCAAGTGAGGAGCCAAAACCTTTAACAGCACCTAAGAGTTTCGGACCCTCATCAGCAGAGGAGAGCAAGGCGAAGGCTGCTCCAAAAGCCAGACCACATGATAAATCACCATCCAGTGCTACCGATGTGTTTGAGCAAGCTTTACAGGAAGATCTTGCCGCCAACGCACATGCAGCAGAAGGTACAACTTCTTCATCATCCCGAGGACATTCCAAAGGAGGAGGCCAATCTGGAACATCTTGGAGGCCGGCGCTAACGCAAGAACGTCGCGAAGTACCTCAACCTTCTGAAAAGGGGAAGGGAAAGAGCAAGTCCAAGGGAAAGTCCAAGAAGGGAGAAGATGATCGGTGGGATGCTCAGGGCAGCTGGGATCATCGTGGATGGAGAGGTTATCACCAGTGGTGATTTCTTTGAACGACTATGAGGATACCATGCAAACCAGGGAGGAAATCATTCACCGGATGTTTATCTGACCTGAAACGCTGTAAGTGTATCGTTGCAAATTCGGATTGACGATTTGATACCATGAGCATAATGGAAGGAAGACAATCACCGACTGTCTCTCCGACTTGCCGTTCTGTAAGTGTATCCAAACCAAAACCTACATCTTTTGAGAAGTGTGAAGTCAGTTGCCAATGTGACATCTACGTGGAAGTCACCAGTTCGGATCTACATCAAAGCGATGCTCTTTTGAGTGGATACTGAGCGAGGCCTCGTGACTGTCTCACTTGTTCAATTCGATTTTTCAAAGGTTCTGAGCCATAGTTGCACACTTTATATGTAAAAGCCCGCTTTAGTCCAGCATGTTTCGTAGTATGAGCCTCATATGAGTCTCGCGGCAAATCATACAATTTCTTTGTAGCACTTACATCCCTAAATTTTCGTGTGTGATCGGAACATATTGTTGCCGTTCACATGGGGGGTGCGAATGGAAGTGCAGCGACACGTACAGTGCAACTTGTACATATATATGTACCATATGTACTTTGGCTCAAGGATCAAGCGACTAGAAAAGGTGCGGTTTCCGTTCCGACGCTACGCCGCTTATGGACCGTCAGTGATAGCTTCAAACTTCGCTGATTAAGATCCACTCGCATTATTTATGCACTTGGTTTAAAGCGTAGCGTGGAAACTGGTTCCACATTGAGGACGGATGTATTACTTGGTCATTTTTCATGCACCCAAGGAATATGGATTGGGGCCTCTTGTCAGGATGGCCAGAAAAGGTGTCTTTCAGCTGCGAATTGACAGCATCACGGGGAGTTCGGCCGCGCCCGGACTCCAAGGCCAAGAATCTCTTGGACACAATGGTTTCCAGCCTGTCCTTCTTTGTGGCCTGTGAGCTCGTCCAGCCTGGATGCCCAATCGTGAAAGACAAAGGTTGCAACCTTGTAAAGCCCAACCCAACCCGACCAGAAAAGGAATCAATTAACGCGTCATTTGGGTAGTGGTAGTGGATGTGCTTGTATGTGCTTGTGAAATGATGTGCGATGTGAAGATGCACAAACCACATGAGTAGAGTTTGCCTCAAACCCAGCCTTGATGCGATCCGAAGCTGCACAGTCGTTAAACATGGGGGGAGCTGCCTCCGATGTTTGCGCCTGAAAGCCGAAGGCCCAGCATTGTGCAGCAGAACGGCGTGACTGCGCCTGGTCCAATGACAGGAGACCGGGAAACTCAAGCTCTAGAAGCAAGTGCACATCCCACACACTGCCCAAATAGCATTTTTCTCGCTTGAAAGTTTGGGGATACCCTTGACAAAGCAGCACAAATTGATATATATATATATATATATTATATATATATGAAGCACTCCAAATTTGCAAACAAAGGTATATAGATGTCTTTCCTGGTTCCATGAAGTGGTCTTGCTGGTTGTTTAGGTTGGCTATAGTGCGTCACGTAATGAAGTTTGCCAGCCCTTTGAGCTGCAAGTTAAGTTTGGAGCCGATGCAAAGAATAGTGTGAGAGAGAGATATAAAGAGAGACATCCAAAGCTGCGGGTTCCTGGGTGCGCTGGGTCTCATTGTTTCGGCCACACCCATGGATCATCGCAGGGGCGACACGCCACGTGCCCCGCCACAAGAGACCGTTTTGGAGATGTTTATGATGTCTCTGAGGAAAGTCACTTGCTCCTGTTGCACTGGGCCTTTTTGTCCACCAGTGTCACAATTTGCTCGGGTTCCATGGCGGAACGTACACATCTCCTGGACGCTTGGTTAGAAAGGACTCCGGGCAGATTTGATATGATTTGATTGTGATTGGCTGCTAAGCCTTTTGGACAGGCATGATCCACGTTTTGAACGAAACTGGAGAAAGGTTGCCACTTTGTCACGCAAGTCACCTCTAAAAGACACAGGACTGGTAAAGTCTAGTAAATACGTCCTGTTAGACGGATCCATCACTAATTTAGTAAAACAAAAATAGGTCCCCTTGCCAGGTCTCCGGTTTTTTTGTGCAGGTCTCACGTCTCTTCCTCGCTTTCAGACCAGCCATAGCTTGTGACTGAGGCATACCTATGCTATGCTGCATCTTGTCTGACTTTTAAAAGTCTCTTTGCCATGGACTCCATGGACCTTCTGCACGGCGAAAAGGAAAATACCAGGACCATAAGACACCAATCTCCTGGACCGGCGGGGTGGTGAGTCACGGTATTGATCTAAATAAGTGTAGTAGGGAGGGTGCAGCTGTGCTGAGAGAGTGCACCAAAGCCATGTAAAGCAATAGGCCCCCCCCAAAAAGGCATCTATAATCATCTATATATAACCTTCAGCCTCTAACTATTTTCGAGTGATTTCAGGCTTCTGAGGTGTTCTAAAGTGATGACCTTCATCGATAACTTGGTAACCATTTGTTACACGAAGACCCCTCACCAAGGGAAAAAAAACAAAGATCTATACATACCAATCTATCTATAACTATTTATCAATCTAATTTAATATCAGATCATATCATCTCACTATCCATCTATCCATCTATTTCATCTATCTCTCTACCTACCTACCTACCTACCTACCTATCTATCTATCTATCTATCTATCTATCTATCTATCTATTTGTCGATCTTTCTTATCTATCTATCTTATCTATCTATCTATCTAATCTAATCTAATCTATCTAATCTATCTATTCATTCTATCTATTTAATCTATCTCTTTCATCTATCTCTTTCATCTATCTCTTTGATTTATCTATTTAATCTATCTATTTCATTTATCTAGTTTATCAATTTATTTGATCTATCGAATCAATCTCCTTGATCTGTCTCTTTCATCTATCTATTTCATCTATCTATTTAATCTATCTATTTAGTCTATCTCTTTGATCTATCTCTTTGATCTATTTATTTAATCGATCTATTTGATCTATCTGTTTAATCTATTTATTTAACCTATCTAGTTAATCTATCTATTTAATCTATCTCCTTGATCTATCTCTTTCGTCTATCTATTTAGTCTATCTCGTTCATCTATCTATTTAATCTATCTATTTCATCTATATATTTATCTATTTCATCTATTTTGTTGAACGTATCTATCTATTCAATCTATATGTAATCTATCCCATTAAATCTATCTATTTAATCTATTTGTTTAATCTAGTTTACGAAAGCCAGCCTTCGTAGAAGGCGCCAGCTGAGTTGTGCTTGGCGAACGAAGTGAGTAGTTAGGGGGTCTGGGGACACGTAAACTCGGCACATGCTGGGGGAGGAGGGTGCACGGATGGAAGGTTTTTTGAGGTTGTGTTGGAGGTGATTTTTGAGGGGGGGTGATGCAAGAAATGCAACTTGCATCATTTGCATCATCTGAATGGTAGGTGTAGTTGGCACCTTGCCAGGTATAGATACTCAGGGTAGCTATAGTGCAGTTACCAGGTATAGTACTTCAAGTTCCCTTTCCATCAACCGCTCGATAACCTTTACACACGCACAGCAACCCGCAGCTTTGAAGTCTCATGCGCGCGATACCTGGGAACAGAATTGTAGCTACCCTGGGTCCGTATAAATGCTATGTTGCTATACCTCTTACACGCCTATATAAGTTCAAAGCACGAATGAGACTTCAAAGCTGTGGTTTGGTGTAAAGGTTATCGAGCTGTTGACGGAAAGGGAACTTGAAGTACTATACCTGGCAACTGAATTGTAGCTACCCTAGGTATCTATACCTGGCAAGGCGCCAGCTGAGTAAGAAGGGGGTTCTGGGGGGTGGCCTGAGAAAGCACACCCGAAAGTAGGTGGTGTGTAGGGGTGCACGGAAGCAAGGTTTTCGAGGTGCTTTTTTGTGGTTTTAAGAAATGCAATTGTCTTGGGTTGGTTGCAGTGCTATACTTGGCAACTGAATTGTAGCTACCCTGGGTCCGTATACATGCTATGTTGCTATACCTCTTACACACCTGTATAAGTTCAATGCAAGAATGAGACTTCAAAGCTGTGGATTGCTGTGCGTGTGTAAAGGTTATCGAGCGGTTGACGGAAAGGGAGTTTGAAGTACTATACCTGGTAACTATTGTAGCTACCCTGGGTAAAAACGCTGGCTTTCGTTTTGCAGCTTCTCAGGTATTTAATCTATCTATTTAATCTATCTATTTAATCTATCTATGTAATATATCTATTTCATCTATCTATTTGTTCTTTCTATTTAATTTATACTCTTAATCTATGTATTTCTTATATCTATTTAATCTCTTTGATCTATCTCTTTGATCTATCTATTTAATCTTTCTATCGTTTTAACCCATATTTTAAATCTATTTCTTGAATCTATCTATTGAATCTTTTTATCTTTCTATCTATCTATCTATCTATCTATCTAATATATTCATTTAATATATCTATTTAACCTATCGATTTAATCTATCTATCAAATCTATCTACCTATCTATTTGTATCTATTTATTTATTAGTTTATCTATTTGTTTCTTTCTGGTGTTTTTCATGTTTTTCCTTATCTATTTTGCCTAGTTTTCTATCTCATATACCTGTCCGTCTATCTTTCTATCTATCTATCCATCTATCTATCTGTCTATCTAATCTAATCTAATCTAATCTAACTATCTATCTATCTATCTATCTATCTTTGAACGGGATGCACAATTTCGGCCTTCTTCCACCACTTCTGAAGCGGACGCTTCTGACAGAACTGACAAAAGATGTCCTTCATCCATGTTTCGAGCCTGTTATGCTGAACCTAAAGATTGTTGATTTCCACAGAACCATGTAAAACGATAGCATAGGCTTCCAAAAGAAAACGATAACTTCCAGTTTTGCACCAGTCCTAATCAATTGATTTTGACGGCTCCTCATGTGAGCAGCGTTTCCTGCATGCTCCTGAAAGGTTGAAGAGCTAGGATATGTCCTTTCCTGGGCCAACATCCAACATGAGTATAGTCCTTGAGGCCCCATGTAGAAATGCAGTGGCTTGCCGAGAGTGGATGGTATGATTGCAGCACATGGGTGAAATTGCTTTCCCATGGGAAGGAACTGGTCAAAGCCTTTCGAATGCTGCAGGTGGTGATGTCAGGGCTGGTTTATCCAATTCTGGCTGACAGTGTGTGGGGCAATGGTGCCTTGGTTGCATGTGCGTGGACCTTGAGGCCTCTTTTGGTTTTTGTGGGTTCTATGCGAACTTTTCATCATTCAGATACATACTTTTGTTCGTGGTTTCCTCTCTTGTGCAGGCAAAAGGCGAGTCTTCCTATGAAAGACTTGGCCCTTTCAAACCCATCCCGTTGAATGCTGTTTGTAAGCTCCGCAGCAATTCCGGGATACTGGAAGTGATAGCAGTCACAACCCGATTGCATTTGGGAGATCCCAGGATGACCTACCTTATTCAATGCGCATCGTAGTCACTCAATCTACTTTTGGCACGCATTTGCACCTGGCGGACCGCAGTTAGATGTCAAGGACGTGGGCTCTTACACGAGCACTTTCACTCTGTCATTAGCGGCGCTTTGGCCGCAATGGGAGTTTTCTGCAGCTGGCTGGTGATCGGTTTGGCTGGCGAATGGGCGAATGGTGTGCAAAGAAGAGCCAACTGGCACAGGTTTTGACTGGAAAAACCGTTTCCCCTGCTGTAGCTATGGGTGAGGCTTGGGCCTCAGGTATGCCAATTCCCTCTATTCCACTGCCATGTTAGGGTCGCAGGGGTCGTGGGTTCTAAGATGTTCACGAAAGCAGCAGCATTGCCTCCCTCCAACGTATCCCTCCTATTTGTTAGCTGTACTCCTCCGCTTTTTCCCCCCACATGAGTCACATTAGTGTGGTTTTTGAAGAGAGTTACCTTTGGGTGTGGCATTTGGAATCTGGATTTGGATCATATTGTAGCCTTTGTGTTCAGCGAGCAACACCTTGACAAAACAAATTCATACTGTAAAGCCTTGTTGATGTTGTCCGTGCTAAATCTTAGACACACCCGCAAGTGTTTTATGGACACTTCAGAAGCTGCTTGATCGCCTCTGAGGACACAGCTACTATGACTATGCAGGGGGCGGAGTGGTGCATCTAGCTGGAGGGATTGCAGCTCTGGTGGGGGACCCAGCTGTGACACCTGCAGCCTGCAGGCGGTCCCCCTGATGCACCGAATCCCCACCCTGCGGTCCTGCGGTTCCAGGCCGGAAATCTTCTGCTGGGGCGGCGAATCTTGCGGCCGCCGGCGAAGGACGGCGCAGATGAAACGAAAGCTGCACTACCCCAGACGCACCAAGAAGTATCCGGATGATGCGTGCTCAAACCTGCACCTCCATGCGTCAAAGACTTGTGGTTTTCACTGTTGTGGCGAAAACATGTGAAGACCCCAATCAACAGCGCTTGGCCCTCCGTGGGTCGTGACCTTGTGCATTTTATTCATGACAACATGCGGGCTGCTGTCACAGTGTATATATATAGGTGGTAGGAGCTTGGGTCCAGTATCTCCACGGCACTGAACCTTATGCACCAGTGATTCGCACCCTCATGACCTGGCCTCCCCAAGGACTTTTGCCCATCCAATGCGGAGAATGCCGGTTGCTGTGGCTGAATTGGGGTACTGTATGTCTTGTGTTGAGGATCCTGTACCCATCACACACATTTATATATAATATACAGATTGCCGCATGGGTTGATGTATGGACCCATGGACGAACGAAACGGACGGCAAAGCTAAAAGTCACAGGGATCCACAGGGTGTTCCATTCCAAAAGCCACAGGCAAGGCCGAGCAATACGCTTTGAGCTGGCTGAGGCAACGATGGCGCCGAACAACTGAAGGAGTGCCAACGTGAGGGTTGGGCTGATGTCCGATGTGATAGCGGAGTGGCAGGCATTGCTGTAAGTTTCCGAAGTGTTGGAGGCCGAAGGGAAGGCGAAGGAGCTTAGCATAGAAAGTTTGGCTTTCTATCATGTGGCCACCTATCCCAAAAAGTATATTTAAAGTTACTAGCCGACTGATGCAGACTGCTTGTAAACTGTCTCCAGCTTTGTTCTGATTCTTTTCTTTCAAGCTTTCTGGATTGAAAGTCGGTTTGTTCCATCTCACTGTCAATGGAATCTCAGTTTGTTCCCCAATGAGTTCACCCATGTTGACCCCCCAGGAAGCTTTGCAAGAGACCTGGCAACGGCGTTTCGATTGTACAGAGGCACGTGCAATGGGACCACGGGTCGCACCAATGAATGTTGGGGACAAGGTGAAGGCTAGCTATTTGATGCATTTTGATGCATTTTGATGCTATTTAGCTAAGTGAGCAACGTCATAAGCCTCTATGAATGAATTTAGGTAGGGCTTAAGATTATGAATGTTTGCGAAAGGAAAACTGCAGTTGGGGAAAGCTTGGCGAAAGCTTTGGAGAAAGGCCATTAATTTTTGATGAATGGATTTTGTGGCGAAAGGGTTGACGAAAGACGTTTTCAGTGCAGTACAAAGCATGTCATCTAAATGGTTGTTCTACAGCCCCAAAGATTCCTGATAACCAGGCGACGCAAAGATGTTTCGAAAGCAGTAGTTGCAGATTAGGAATGATTCCCCTTTGCTGATACTTTTCTTAGATGTAAGTAGCAGAAGCTCGGCGAAAGGGTTAGCGAAAGAGGTTGTTGGGTGAAGTGGGTCGGCGAAAGCAAAACTAAACATGCAGCCGCGAAAGCGTTGCAAAGGGATTGGCGAAAGGTTTTTATAATCTTAATAAAAGTTCCGGATTGTTTTTGGCACCGCTAAGCCGATTTAAGCATGATTCAATCACTCACTGTGATGAGTGCGTTGAAGGGAGAAACTCCTACTTTCTTGCAACAATTGGCCTACAGTTACAAAAATCTATGGTAAGGCCAGAATCCTTGATTAAAAAAAAGTCAAACACATTGAAAAGTCAAAAAATGCAAAACACATGATATAAAAAGCCAAAACTAGACAACTGCTCGAAAAAGTAAAACAACATCCTAAAAAGTCAAGAACAAGTCAACAAAAATTGAAAAACGTCAATAGAAACATCAAAAAATAGTCGAAAACAAAAAGTCGGATCTGTGCAAATTGACTTTGTTGAGTTTGACTTTTGGGACTGACTTTTTCCAATATTGAAAACAGGCTCCCTCCAATGAAAGATATTTATACGGCTACAGAATTCCTGCTAGCTTCAGTTATATAGTTGCATTGAATCCCCTACTTCAGGCAGAGAGAGATTGTGGCCATCAACAGGGCATCAATATCGAAGTTCATTATATGTGTCACATAAGAACCATGATCATCATACGAGTTCCTCTTGCCCATCGTAAGCCACATGAGTGTTTGACAAAGCGCGGTGCAGGATGATGAGAAGGAGTTCCGTCCCAACAGCTATTTGCAGGCCCGTGGTATTCCCTAGCAACTTCACGAGCAAGTAAACAAGTCACCAAGTAGGAAGAGGTAGTTGCAAGTTGGCTGTGGCTGCAAGATTTGCATTTGCAGGTGTGCATAATATAATTACATATATATATATATGTAACATAATGAAACTATACTATGACATGTACAATGCATATAGACACATGAACAACCATTTTGACATGAATTGCTGTGCCGAGACTCAGTTAGGTCGCAGGTGCAGGCCCTTGCGCATCCTTTTGTGTCTGTTTGTTGCACATGCTACAGTTAGTAAGTTTAATCAACTTCAATATTTAAATCTGTATATATATATATGATTGTTGGTATAAGCCAGATCCCGAAACACCAGCTGGGATTCGGTGTTCGCTCGTGCAGCTCCCGATCACAGCGCAGGTAATGGGCGTGTTGAACCTGTGGGCAGCCCGCCTGAGACGGCACACCGGGCAACTTAAGCCTCATAGAACTCACCTCCAATCCAATCATGAGATTCGTTCTGTGGCTGTAGGGTTCAATGACTATGGGCTTTTAAACGGGATAGAATGTACCAACTTGCAAAAATTGCCAACTTGCTATTTCGTGGGGCATGTTTCATGTGTTGTGCTTCAGTAGTCACAGCGCGACGTGTGATGAGACTTTTTCTTTGATGTCGAATTTGGATAGGCTGCTAGAATCTCCAGGGTATTAGAGCGCAACGCATTTTGGGACGTGAGTTAACCCCATCAACTGGCTAGAACAAAGCTCTCCCCATTCGAAGAGACATTGGCAGCTCCAGGATTCCATCAGTCTTGGGGCAGCTTGTGGCAGTAACCCCCACAATTTCACCAAACGAATTAGGACAGCGTATCTTGAGGTTGGCTGTTATGGCTTCAATGCGAGCCCTGCATTCGCTCGAAACGATCCAAGCAGATCCTTGGCCAAACTCCCGTGGCCCAAGTGGGAGGAAGGTGGCAGGGCCCTTCTTAATTAGACATCTTGCTTGAAAGACATAAAGACCTTTTGTCGCTAATTGCTGTAGCTGGTAGATGGATGTTTTTCTAGTGATATTGCCAGAGGAGCTGCTTCGATGTCAATGTCATTCTGTCACAAGGACGGACACCACAGTCACAATGTCAGTGTGTGCATGTGTTTGCTCCATCCCAATTTTGGGACCCTTCCTGTTTGTCATCGTCGAATCTGAAAGCTATGGCCCTGCTGATCCCAGTTTTCAGAGTTTGGTATGTCACAGATCCCAAGATGGTGCAGACCTCCCAATCTGCCCAGCCACAGCAGGAGAATTCCTGAACGCCCTCCCGAGGCGTTCACTCCGCAGCCTTGAGTGCGTGGAATACTACGTTGGCAGCAGCTGCGGGCGCTTCGGGCGCTTTCCTACATTTGTGCCTCGTAGACCTTGTTCGCAAATGGCACCTTACTGAGGACTCTGAGGACACCTGAGCCACGTGACTCTGTTTTTGGGGAGCAACTTCTTGACGGTACCATTTACTTGTTGTTGAATGAATGTAAGTCGTGCTTCCACTTTTGCCATGACTTTTGCCTCGCATCCCATCAAAGGCTGGAACCACCTCCAAGCAAACCCCCAGTCGGCTGGCCGCGGAAAACTGTGCGGGTGGTCCAAGTCACAAGCATCGTACACGGAGCATCACCTCGAGGCATTTTTTTCACCAGAACATCGACATGGGCTTCTTGTACAACGGGGTGCTGTCTGGATTGGTATGCTTGACCGGAGCGTGTGCCTTGGATAGGAGGGAAATGGGTGTTTTGAATGAAGGCCGTGCAAAGAACACGAGAATATCAAAGCCCGTCTAAACATGCTGGTTGGGAGGTCTCGCTAGTGAACTGCAAACACAAGCTAAGGTAGACACAAGGGAGAGAGAGAAAGAAAGAAAGAAAGAAAGAAAGAAGAAGAAGAAAGACAGCGAAAGAGAGAGAGAGAGAGAGAGAGAAAGGGAGAGAGAGAGAGAGAGTGGCTCAAGATTTGGCTCAAGCCTGGCTCAAGGTGGCTCAAGCCCGCTGGTCGTTGAGTCCGACGAGGGCACTGGCACCACATCTTTGCTGGTGTCTTTGACGGGACCTATATCAAGGGAGGCCTTGCCATTGATTTTGGAGGTTGTCGAGTTCTTCACGAAGTGAAGATGATGGATGGATGGGAATACCCGAGACGCAAGGCAAGGGCCTACCATGTTTGCAAAGGGTGCACAAACTCATGGATCTGGAGTGACAGGATCTCGTCGACCAGGTGGGGATGCACCAAGTGTGGGGCAGCTTGGCCACAGAGCAATGACAACTGGAGGACAGATTGGTCACCCAAGAAGAAAGCTAACCTTCGAGGAAGACCACGTCACCAAGTTGCACCACCCCCGGGACTCGGGGGAAAGACAAAGCAGCAGAAGAGTGAGGTTGAACAGACGCTGAGGCAGGCTTGGTCGTCACTTCCGACAGAATGCCAACAAGCGCTCAAGGGCATGGGCCTGGACTTCACCCCAGAGCCTGAGCCCCAGCCTCTGGAAGAGCTGCTCAAGGCGCACTTGGAGAGCCTGCCCAAAGAAGTCAAAGAAGTGGTGGAAGGGTTATTGAAACCTGCTCCTGCAGCCAGTGTAGATGTCACTGGCCAGCTGAAGGCAACTGTGGGTGAACTGAGGCAGCTCACGACCAAGAAGCAATCACTGCAGAAGCGGGTGGATCAAGCTAAGGAAAGCTACAAGATGCTACTGGACGAGTTGAAGATTGTTCAGGAGGCAATTGACAAGGAGCATAAGCAGCTGGGCAATCAGTCGGAAGCATATGCAAAGCAATTGAAAGAAGAAGCTTTACCGACTACACCCCCGGCTGAGCATGTCCTAGACCCAGACACCACTGAACACGTCATGAAGGCAATGGGACAGGCAGGCATCATCTTCACGGTGGAGCAGCAGAAGGAGTTGGAGAGAAATTTGGCGGAGACCATTGCCAAGAGGCGCAAGACGGTCGGGGATGCCCAGTTGAGTGGGTAACAGGACCAGAGCTTTTCATGCAAAAGGGAAAAAGGTGACAACCAGCACAATGGTGAAGGGGTCCTGTTGGCAGAGTTGTTATAGAGCTGAGCATGAATGGAGATGTGGGGAAAAATCAAACTCTTGGGACTGTTTGAGTGTTTGGGAAGCAACCTCACGCACTGGTGGGGAGTCTGGTGAGAGAGGTTGCGGCAGTGCAGATTGGTTGTGGGGCTTCACGCAAGGAGATCAGCCTTGTGAAATGATGCATGTGCCGCATCAAGGAATGCAGCCGTATGGGTACCACGATGTCCAATTTGAGCAACCTTTTCCAATTGGGCAGGATCAGATCACCTTTGAAATAGAGCTGGGTGTTGATGAAGCTAATTCCAATGCTCTAGATCCACGGGCGGTGCTGTCGGCCGTGGTCGATGGGCAGATGGAGATGTTTGACGGAGTGGAAAGGGTTGAACAAACCCCTATGGAAAGCAAACAACAAGGATGGAAAGAGGTTAGGAGTCATGAAACCTTTGTGACAAAGGAGACCGAGGCAAGCCTTGTGGCTCATCCTCGTGCTGAAGGAGGTCAAGGTTGGGACTGCAACGGGGCACCGACCTTGCAGAGCACAGAGCGGCCGGGGAAACCTGGACCTGCTGATTTCGGGACCTGGAGCAGGACCAACGACAGCCCAGTGACCAAGAAGGGGCTTTCCAGCCATGTGCCCTTTTGGGTGGAGGAAAAAGAGGATGGCAAGAAGAACTATTGGTAGATGGAAGAGAAGAGGCAGAAGACATGAATGCTGACGATGCTGCCCAGAGTGCCCAGCATAACCGGCATCTTGACGTGCCAAAACCAGGTGTATCAGATACACCTGCTTTTGACACCAGCCCAGATGATGGCCAAGCAGCAACAATGATGACTGGCCCGTGTGCCATCCTTGGAGGGGGTAAACGGGACAAACCATATGAAGAAGATCAGATTCTTGAAGATGACGACATACAATATGGTGAACGAACCACACCGGGACATCTGAGGGATCGACTTGTTGTGCTCCAAGAGAGGGCATCTGAAGCTATCCGAGCCCTTCCGGTGCAGTGTGATGAGGACTATGAGTTTGGACAGGTGGAGACCAGAATTTGGGGCTTGGAGGCCCTAAAGCATGTGTTGCACTGCAATCCAACCTCATGCTGACCAGACCGGTTGAAGGGGATGTTCAGATCCCACCGGCAGTGGAACTGTTGGCGGCAAATCTCACCCTGTGTCTGAACAACAAAGGAAACCGCTGCTATGCCAACTCTGTACTCAGAATGTGGTGCTGGATGGGAGCTCACCACACTGATCCAGCAGCCTTTTGGGGTCCGTCAAAGAAGCTCTGCCTGCAGTTGTTGCAACAAGATGTCATTGAGGATGTCTTCTGGGCCTCCGAATTACAGCCAGCCATTGCACGACTGGAGAATCCTCAACAACAACATGATGCTTCTGAATTCCTGGTTCACTTGTGGGAGCTCTGGGGGCAGACGGGCTTAAGTGGCTCTTGGCATTCCCACTTTGCAGGGAGACTTCATGACTTTGAAACAGTTCCCATCTTTGTCCGGATGCCGCCAGAAGAAGGGCAAGAAGTCAAACTAGAGACCCTGCTGCAGATCTGGGCAAATGAGGCCAGTGGACAGTGCCTGGGTCACGAGGCACAGCACATCGTCTTCCACATTGGACGATACTCCCTGGTCGACAAAGTATGGACCAAGCACAATCATCGCTTGATCACGCCACCTTTCTTTCAGTGCCCACAGATGACGTTGACGGGGCAACCGGCACCAGCCACCTTTGTGCTTCGTGGGGTCATATCTCACCAAGGTGCTGAGCTCATCAGTGGGCACTATGTCACGATGTTGGTGGAGGGAGAAGCGGTTGATGATGGAGAGTGCTGTCAGGCAGTCAAAGAGATCCCTCCGGCCATCCAAGAGGGCACTGTGATGGTGTGGGCCTCCAAGGCCGAGCCGTCTGATCTCTGGTCACGGAATATTGGCATCATTGAACCGCCCCCGAAGAGGCCGCGTGTCCTGCAAGATGAAGTAACCATTTTCTATGCCAATGTCACCATGTGGAACAAGGAGGTGTTTCAATGGATGGTGCAGCAGGACCTGCAAATAGTCATGATGGTGGAAACTCATCTGGCAGGGACCAAACTTGAAGGAGTGATGAGTGACCTATGCAGGGCCCGGTGGCACCCAGCATTCCTGCCAGCTTTCGAGACGGGCAGGGGCGGCGCCAGTGGGGGGCAGGCCTTTTGCTGCAGAGAGGGACAGGCGGCCTACAAACTCCATCAATACGAGCATGAGGGCAATGGCTTTATGGCCAATGTAGTGCAGAGGCAGAAATGGGAGCTATGTGTCATCTCCGTGTACCTCAAATGTGGAGAAGATCTCAACTCCACGGCCAATGCAAAGGTGCTGGGACAGATGGCTGCCTTTGTCCAAGAGCTGGCCATTCCGTGGATGCTCATTGGAGACTTCCAAGTGCCACCCTTGCAGTGGGAAGGGCATAATCTGCTAAATGTCCTCCGAGCGGAAGTCGTCAGCAGTGGACAACCAACAATGGTCAATGGGGCGGAGATAGGCTACATCGTGGCTAGCAGAGTGATTGCTCCTTTCCTCACCATCAAGGTGAACTGGGATGTCCCCTGGCGACCACATGCAGGATTGGAGGTCCATGTGGCACAGGATGCACCTCGTCTTCCACTTCAACAACTCACACAGTTTGCTCCCATACCCAAATTGGAGGCAATGGAGAAGGCATGGGACCAGTTTGAGCCGGATCAAAGCCCTTCTGGTTGGGACGGCCGGTGGGACCCAAAGAGATACAATGTGCCACTTTCTGTCACCATGCAGAACAATTTGCCCTTCAACATCTGCATCAGCCACGATTTGGCAGAGGATGGTATCTGGCCTTGGAGATCAAGCCATTGGCCAAGACCAAGCCGCTCACACATCCTCAACCATGCTGCCAGAGTCCGCATGCTGGGGGTTGGCATGATTGCGCACCTCAAGGCCAAAGCCACTGATCTTCAGAGCAGGTGGCAAGACATCCATGGTGATGGATTGCACTCCCTCATCAATGGAGATGCCACTCCAATCACCCTGTTGATCAAGGGAGCGGAATGTAACAGAGAGCAGGCACAAAAGATTGCCATGGCCAGACAAGCTGATGAATATCAAAACTGGCTTTCTCAGGCCACCCTGAAAGGACACAGCGGCATATACAAATGTCTGAAAGCCCCAGATGCCGTCCATGTGAGACCATTTCGCAATGTTCCAGTGCAGCAAAGACAACAGCTACGAGAAGCTCAGTGGCATGGAATGTGGCAGGTGGTGGAGAAGCAGCGCCATAATGGAGAGCGGGAGAGGCTACGTTATGAGGGCATAGTCCAAGCCAGACAATGGGAAGATTTGGACCCGCACCTTGTCATGAAACAATTGCAGCGGTTGCCCCAGAAAGCATGTGGTCCTGATGGAGTAAGCTACTCCCTGCTCAAGGCCCTGCCAATTGAAGGAGTCACGGAGCTGTGCAGCATGTACAGGAGATGGGAACTTGAAGGACGCCTGCCTGACCAAGTGCGCACCACGCTGGTCCTGTTGCTGCCCAAGAAGGAGGACATCGAGAGGCCGATTTCTTTGACAAGTGTCCTCTATCGGACGTGGTGCCGCCTGAGATGGGACAAGCTCCGCCCCTGGCAGTGCAGCATTGGTCAAAAGCTGACTTGGGAGCGCAGTGTGCCTGGCACACATGTCCTGCAGGTAGCTCTGATGAGACTGTTGAAGTGTGAAGTTGGAAGAGCTACTGGAAAACATGTGGTGTCGCTGCTGGTGGACTTTGAGTGCTTTTACGACAGTGTGGAGCTGGAGCAGCTGTTAGGAGCGTGGGAACCTTTGGACTTCCCCCCAGCGGTGATGAACATGGTCTATGAAGTCTACACTGGGCCTCGTTTGCTCCAGGCCGAACAGGTCATGTCAAGACCAGTGACGTGTTCAAAAGGCATCTTGGCAGGATGCCCGGCAGCTCCCCTGGTAGCCAAACTGATCCTGGCCCCGGTGCTTGGCCCGTTCAAGGAGCAATTCCCCAAAGCCTCCATTGATGTATGGGTGGATGACATTTCCATCGACTTTGTTGGGGATAGTGTGCAAGCAGTGTGCCGACAAGCACTACAGGGATTTGATGTGCTGCAACAAGGGCTTCAAGATGCAGGGCTGAAGCTGTCACTGGCCAAGACTGGATACCTGGCATCCTCCAATGACTGCAAAAAGGAGCTGACCATCCAGCGACGGGAAGATCAGCCCTCTGTTCACGAGCTCCTGAAAGACTTAGGACATCTTAGGACTGGATTCCAGCGGAGGGAGAAGGAGGAGGATTGGCACACAACAAAAACGTCTGCTGAAGGCAGGGAGGAGGAATGCCAAACTTCATCACCTCAAGATCAAGTCCCGGCCCATCCGCATTCGAGTGTGGAAGACATCGGTGCACTCAGCAGCTTGCTATGGCCTAGAGGCGCAGGGCGTAGCTCCACAGAGGATGAGAACCCTCCGTACTCAGCTTGCCAGACATGGAGGGCTACAGAAGGGAGGCAGCGTTGATGTGGTCTACGACCAACATGGCCACCTGCAGGATCCGTTGATGACGGTGGTTGAGCGCCAGCTGAAAGCAATGCATCTGCTTGTCCCCAAGTGGCCGCCGGAACAGCTTGCAGAACTTCACACTGCATGGCGTGTCAGTTGGAAGAGGCTGAGAGCAGCGGCATATCCTTGGATGGTGGTCACAGGACCGATGGCAGCCCTGCAAGTATATCTTATGGACATGGGATGGGACGCCAGCAGCCTGAATGACTGGATCAGGCCACAGGCGGGACTGATGCCACCGGCACAGCTCAACATGGAGTTTCCTTGGCCATACCTCCAGAGGCAACTCAAGATTGAGATGGACAACCAGAGGGCCAGGAGGATCCAGGAGCTTGAGCATGCCTTCCCCCTGATGCATCGACCTGACTGGAGCACCTACCACAAAGTCATGAAGAAGGCCAACGGGGGTCAGAAGGCAGCCATCAATGCTTGGACACAAGGGTCCTTGAGAGCCCACTATGGGGGTGAAGCATTTGGTGTGGCAATGTAGCTATCATACTGAACGCCTGCCTGAAGAGTGGACTCAGATGATTGCAGCCAATGAGAATGCAATGCTGTGGGCCAGGGGACTCATTGAACTACCAGCCTATCACCCCATTCAAGGGGTGGACTCCTGTGAAGTTGGAGGCATCTTCACTCATGGGTGGCCTGTCCGCATTGGACCACATCAGAGGCTGGCAATTGGGGTGCAAGCTACGAGCAAAGACAAACGGCTCAGGAAGTTTGCGGTTGCAGTGGTAGCCACGCAATGGCAAGATGGGGGATGGCAACTCATTGGCCACTGCACTGCATTGGCACCTGGACCTGGCACTGAAGCAAGAGCGTGGTTCTTTGGATGTTGGCTCACGCTGCAAATGGTGTTGGGGCGCCACCAGCTCAACATACCACACCATGGAGGGTGGGCAGCCATTCGGAAGGGAGCTCAGGGCAAAGTGGCACCAGATCTTTGGCATCATCTCCCTGAAGAGGAATGGTCCAGGCTACAGCTGGTGCAGGTGCCATGGAAACTGCTCAAGGATCAACAAGAAGATGTGCGGGGCAAGAAGCAGTATATCATGGCCAAGGAGGTGGCGGCTAGACGTGCCAACCTGGAGCAGCCAACCTCACTGGAGAATGAGTTAAAGGTTGAGGATCAGCTGCACTTTGAAGTCTACCAGGTGGCTGGCCAAAGAATTGGTGCGATCTTGCAGGACAAACACCACTACATGAATGGCAAGCTGGAGCGAGTGCCGGAGCACACCACCTCCAAAGCCAAGTCCAACCCCAGAGAGGGAAGAGTTGAGGTGCTAAGACAGCTTACGCAGCGCCCAGCTCAGAAGGGAGCCCATCAGTGGCAGATGCACAACAATGGGGTGAAGTGCAGCCTCTGTCACAAGAAGATCAAAGCCTGTGCCACGTTTGCTGAGATTGGGCAGAAACAAGATACGGCATGCAGTGGCTTTGTTGAGCAGACAATGGAGCAGCAGTTGCGCCAACTGGTGGATGAGTCAAGTCTATTGGCTGAGGGACAGGAGGGACATAGATGGTACCTCCATGGGAACCACTTTGGATGCCACCAATGCTGGGAGAAGATTCCCAGGCGCAGTGGCAAACACCTGCTCCAGAAGTTGCAATCCAAGGAATGCATTCATGGGCCAGTGGATGAAGCTGCACTCAACATACGACAGCGGATCCACCCAAGTCATGCTTTGATGAGAAAGGGCACGTGGCTTGAATGTCAACAGTGCCGCAAGTATGGCAAGATAGTGGATGGACGAATTGCGCAATGGGTGCATCAGCCTTGCTTGAAGGCAAAGGGCCAGAGGACCCTAATCTTTGGGCCTGGAAGCTCAGATAGCTGAGCTAGGCATTTGATGGTCTACAAGGAGAATGAGCCTTGGACCTGACTTGTGCTCGGTCACTTTTGCCTAGAAGGCGTGACCACAGACCTCGAGGATTGCAGTCCAAAAGAACCGGGAGAAAACACAAAAAGAGAGAGAGAGAGAGAGAGAAGAGTGTGCAAAATGAACCCAAAAAGAACTTTCTGCGGTACTTTTTTGCGGTTCTGAAGTGGGTGATTGATTGCCTGGTTCATTTATAGATGACTTCGCCTTATTGCACTACCAGCAACACACTGTCTACCTCATGTAGAACCAACTGCTCACTGTGAATGCTTGCGTGCTGCAAGCGAATGGCACGGGGAGATCCAGCAATGAGAGAGGCACGGCCTATCATGTGTCACGGCAAATGTCGCCGTGACATGTTTCAGAACACATCAGGCACGCGTTTGGATGTTTGTTGAAGACGCATTTGATTTGTTTTCTTTCCATCGTCACTCTCAGGGCCTGTAGCTCAAGTGAGGTGATATCATTGCCCCAGCTGGGGCTGTCCTTTTGGGCTTCCTGGCGGGCTTTGTCGTGTATCCCTTAGGCACGGTGTGCTGCACGAGCTCACCAGCTGTTTGTTGTCAAACATCGATGTGTGCACTGGCACACTAAACGCCCCTAAACTGCTGCCAGGCTGCCAGCCAAAGGCACATGTTTTAAAGCACGTTGTTCATTTCTCAGCTTCCAAGCGCGAGTTTTGAGTTTCCAGCGCATGTTTCTTTTTGGCTCCCTTTGAGCTGACAATGCCTGACTCCAGGTCGAGCTGCCTTGCGGCGGATCCGCGTGGACGATCCAGCAGAAGCTGGCCTAGATGGGCAACATAGAGATGGAGCACGGCTCGATTTGTAGATGGAACTCGTACGTATGAAATTGGTCTTAGTATGTCTTAGTCATGACAGGTCGTGTAAACACGGGTCGAGTATTGTTGCAACTATATATATATATATCGTATTTTGTTGGATTGTGCCAGTGGAAAAATATGTTCACAATAACATGTGGAAACACATGGCGGTGACGTTGTTATTCGGCCCATATATATATATATATGTTTTTAAACAAATCAGCATTTCTCCTTGGTTCATGGGAATGAGCATTTTGTGGCTAGCATGATCCAAGATGAGGGATAATTTGCTTCGGTTAACGCCCGTCGCCGCCAAGGATGCGATCCCAGTTCATGCCGGCAATGCCGTGTTTGGCCTCATCGCGGTCGCATTCTGCCGCTGGGCCCCAGGATTCGTGGCACGGTGGGTTTCTACATCTCCTGGCCCGGACAGATTGATTCATCAACACGGTGCGACCTGCATTAGCCATTCCGGTCAGAATGCAGCTATTCCGGTCAGAGTGTCCCTGTAGAACAGCTGTGAGACGGCTAATGTAGACTCTTGATGTATTATTAGTAACCCTCGTTTGAGTTGGAAATCCTTTTCATATTCAATAGTCTACATTAATGTCCACCTCTGATTAAGAAATAGCCCCCCCCCTCCTGAGTGATCTCAAATAGTCTTAACAAGGGTTTTAGTATCAAATTGATAGCATTGGCCTTACTATATAAATAGAAGAAAGGAATCTTTAGAAGAAAGGAATCTACAGAAAGGGCTAAAGGGTTTGGTGTTGGTTGGTGTTGGTTGGTGTTGATGGTGCTTGCTGTGCTGTGCTGTGCTGTGCTGTGCTGTGCTGTGCTGTGCTGTGCTGTGCTGTGCGGTGCTGCTTGCTTTCTTTCGAGGCAGGGGTGATTTTGTCTCAAAACTTGTTGTTAAAGGCTCGTTTGGGATAACTAGGTTCAGGGGTAATAACATTTAGCTTATATAATTCAGTTGTATTTTCCTAATTGATTTTGGGGTGATTTACTTATTCCTAGGACGACAGACTCTGCACAGAGGGTGCCCTTGCTCGGTGTCACCGGGGAAGACAGTGCGTGAAACTCCGAGACTGAAGCCGACCGTCGAAGCGATTGTTTTTGCGTGGTTGGTCGGTTGAAGGCGTGGTTGGTGGACTCCCACCCTCCAAAGCACTCCAAAATATGAGAGAATTTCATGAAGTTTATAGATATATACTCCGAAGTCTATAACATTCTATCACCCTTAGCATTCTGTCAACTGCATGCTTGGACTTTGGAATGTCAGACCCCAGTCTGAAGGGGTCAGTCTTAGACTCACATCCCAAAATCCCTGCCAAGTAGTGGCCTATTTTCTTTTGCGTTTTGTCCCAGTCTCCGTTCTCCAAGGCAGGTTATAGGTCCTCGGACCCGCTGAGGTCATCCTCCCTGCGAGTCGTCTGGGCACCCCTTTTGCGGCGCCGAGCATCGTGTGGGCCACTGGGACAGGTGGAGAGTGGGGCGGGCACAATCCAAATGAATCCAATACAATCCCTCAAGGATTCCAAAGGCTAAGCCTACGTTGGCCGCTGCAGTGCTTGGTTTCTCCCTAAGATCGCCAAATCGCTCGCACTTCGTTCCAGCGGGCTGTCAGCCTGATGCCTTGTTTTGATGGTCGCCGCCGCCGCCAGCTGTTCTTCATCAGCTGTTGATGCCAACATGACATGGCCAGCAGGTTGTATTTACTCAATCTCATGCAGATTCCTAAAGGCAAGTATTGATTATTGCATCTAGGGCCCCTTTGCACAATCTTTTGCGCCAAAAAGACGGTTCCAGCAACCAATCGAAATCATGTGGTGTTGACTTGGCCATTGGTCTCCATGCTGCTTTGGTCCTTGCTTTTGGCGAAGCTAGGCTTCGTTTGTTCGAGTGCGCCGCACTTTGGCATCCCCTGGCAGCAGCGGCAGACGCATCCGGATGGATGGCAGGCAGAGAAAAAACGGATGGCCGTGCGAGACACCGACACATGACTGACAACACCGTGCCCCAACTGATCAAAATTTATAGATTTTCAGGTTAATTCGCGTGGCAACTTTCGGCTGCCAAGCGGAGTCATTTTCGACGAAAACCCTTAGGCCCTCGGCTCACTGTCACTGGACAGGAGGATCTATATGATGGCATTGTTTGGCCGGGATCCGCTATGATATATTTATAATGCGTTGACTTGCTACAAGATTTCCTACAAAATAGTCAAGCACCCAAAGTATGCTCATGTTTTTGTTACACCATTTGTCCGATGCCTTCTTCCAGGAGGCCCTGCTCCACCCCAGCAGTCTCCACGTCGCCCGCAGTGCGCTACGGCTGGGTGGTGTCCCATGGCAGCGCGTCCGACAGCAGGCGCTCAAGGCGGAGAGAGCAGAGCTGGCAGCCGAGGCCAGTTGGACACCAGACGACTTAGGTGTTCCATGGCGACATTTCTTTCAATTTCCAACACCTTGAAACGTGACAGGGAAGTCATGGGGATTTTCGATCGCAGGAAGCCCAAATTCCACACGTTGGTTGCTATTTCAACCGCTCCTGTTAGGCAGTCTTCTGGCATTTAGGCGGGAAGCAGAGCAGCCCCGACCGACTTCTCATAGATGAATGCAGCCTTTGTGCCGCCTACGGCGCCTTGCTCACCAATCAGATGTTGCGTTTGCACTGGCGCGAGGAAGAATGTCCTGCTTCCTGGCGCGAGGACGGAGATCGACGCTCCGATGCGGTGTGTGGCATGGAGATCTACTGCAGTCGTCGCCACGAGGCCGCCCAGTGCATTGAGGGTCCCAGCGGGGTTCTGTGCTTGGCCCGAAGGCCTCAGGCGTTGGCCTCGCGGCGCTGGTTGGCGTTGGCCGACCCGAGGTTGTTGAGCCCTTGGCGCCGGAAACTGAAGCCACGTTGGGGCAAAGTCTGGGACTATGCGAAGAAGATGATGGAGGGTGAAGACTTCCCTCCAGTGTCCATCGCATGGCGCGAAGAGCTGGAGGAATGGACCTGGAGAGATGGGTGCCATCGCTACTTTGCGTCTTTGGTGAGCGGCAGGTTCTTGCCGGTGTCCTTCAAGGAACCAAGATTGCGGATACGTTGAGAGATTCTGTTGTGAACCGTGACGACAACGGTGTGGCTGTATTTATTTTCCTCCGCTCGAGGCCTCGAGGCTGTGGCTACAACGACCCACGGCATGGAGCAGAGATCCGCAGATCGTTTCGGCTAGCGGCGACCGCTTGCAACTGGAACTAGCGCCGACAGGCATGAAGGAGACCGACTGGCCTAGAGTCGTGTGTGATGAGTCGCTGGATGCCCCAAACGCAGGACTGCAGGACCACTACCACAAGTCTCAGGTCATCTCAGGTCCCATTCTAAAGCTCTCCGATGTGAAGCATTTGATCAATATGATTTGATCACCGTTTGTGCGCTGTTTTCGGCTTCAAAGCAGGCAGCCCAAACAGTTTGGCCTTCATAGCCATGCCTCAGGATTTTGACTGGGTCATCGCTCAAGGAATGGGAATTCATCACATGTCACTGTCTTACTTTACTTGCGCTGTGCGACAAGTTTCCAGAGCATTCCAGAGCAACGCCGAGGGTGAGCCAGAGGGAGCCCTTGACATTCAACGTGGTTGATAATCCACAGCATTCTGTGTGTTATTTCATTATGGAGGTCATTCATGCCACAGGATATAAATATCTCAGCTTTGAACTGCATAATCCCATCCACCTATTAAAACACACGAGGCCCCCACTATTTAGAAAAACTCGGTCGCATCTTTGTTGATAGGGGGTCCCTGAAATCGGGGTTGTCCAAAATAGGGTCACCTGGGAAGAGCTTCAAAACCAAGTCACCCAGGAAAATTGATAACATCCTTTATTAAACTCGCATCAACAATTCAAAAACACCTCCAGATCGAAGGGTCTTCCTTTTCCGCTACAAAAACCTTTATTGGTTGGGTTTGGAACCTTAAAAGTTCACAAAAATCGGCCATGTTGGTAGTTTAGTAGCGGTTTGAAAAGGCGGTAATTTGAAACACATATAAACCGTATTTAGGGTGTGTTTTGTTGTGAATTGGGGAGGCTTTTTAAATTCGGGATTATCAGACTCCTGTTTACATCCCACTCAATCCAAGCTGGATTCAGAAATGACATGACATGACTGCACGTCCATGCCATCCACCAAGGAAGCCAACTTGTGGTGCAACTCTATGGGGTGGGCACCATCATTTTGTGGACCTTTGTGGCAGCTCGACTGTGACCATTTTGGCGTGATCGTTTTGGCGGTTGCATCGGCAGACCCGGTCGGACTCTTTGGTACTTTGGGTGCGCTCGGGGGCCTCTTCTTGGTTCCGGCGAAGCATTTCTTGAAGCAACTAGCTTGGAGTGTGGTTTTCAGCTAGCTTAGGTAGGGCTTAGTGGTACTGCCTGGAGGATAGGAGAGAATTGAGGCCTGCCAGATCACAATGTCAAACATCCAAGGTGGTCTTTCCCGTTTGGGCAATCTTTGTCTTGTCAGAGAGTATCTTCTCTCTTGAGCTGGAGCAGCTTGCAAAGACCTACGAGCATCTTGGACCAATTAAACCTGTCATTCTGACCCAACCTGCTCTATTTCTCAGTTCCTCTCCGAGAATCCTTTCCTGCAGTCCTTTCAAAGACAACATTTTTAAACTCGAGTATATAGTCCTTCAATCTTCAGTTGACACCCATATTTTGGAGGCTTGTGGAGTGAGCTACCTTGAAGCTAGGCACAGATAAAGACATTAAACTCGGCCCAAGTTCCAAACCAAGGAGTCAAATCCTTTATATAATTGTAATGTGCGTTAGGGATGGTGATGATTGATTGGTTGAAGAGTGAATGCGCCATGCTACTGGTAGGAGCCTACTGGTTTGACAGAGGGGAGGAGGATCATGCCGATTTGTCCCTTCTGAAAGGAACTTTGCTGACAGACAGCCTCAGGTTTCTACGATGCAACATTCTCATAATCACATCACCATGGCCGTCCATATTCCACATTGGTCTACCTTTTTTGATCCATCGGAACTCACCAAGTGGCTCCTGAACAGTCTGCAAACGGACGCGCTACTCATCAACGGGACGTTTATTCGCCGCAGCTTCCCAGGCAGGCATACGTCGATGCAGAAGCGGCCGAGGCTTTGGAGGCGGCAGGGACGAGGGTGTTTCCGCGAGGTGTTTGAGGATCCTTTTGGATCAGTCCGTTTGAAGCAACTTAGGAGTGAGGACGCTACTAGAAACATCATCCATTTGGGACCGGTCGTCCAGATTCTTGGCGAGTCGCAGTCCTGATTGGAGCCTTGAAGTCGAAGTCCGACTCGAGGGCATTGAAGTCGGAGCCCACAGTCACGGTGATCCAAGCCGATGTGGTGAACGGCACGAAGATGCACGAAGCACCCGATTCAAAGGGAGAGAGCTCGTCAAACTCCAGCTCCAACATGAGCAGAGCAGTCTTCTCATGTTTTCTCCCTGTGGCATCTATTCTAAATCCAAAATTGATAGATAGACATAGATCATCAATCATCAATGATAATTTAAATCATAGAGTGACAATTTTGCTTGAAGGATCATCCGATGCAGAATAGGCGGAACGAGGTTCCGGTTCCTTCAATGCTGCCCAAATCAATGTGGCACATGCTTTTCTACTAGTAACAAGTGCATCGCTTCTAGTAACAAGTGCCTTACTAGTAGTAACAAGAAGCTAGTAGAAACAAGTGCAACGCTAGTAGTAACAGGTGCCTTACTTATAGTTGGAGGCCATCGCTCGTTTCGGGACCTTTGGTGCTGCTGAAGGCGGGCTTTTGGGCGAGCGCGGCGCGCAGCTCCCGCATCACGCGGCACCTGTTGCGCCCCTTGGCGAATTGCTGGCTCTCCCTGCAGGTCTCACCCCACTGGAACCCATGTTTCTGGAAATCGCCAACAATTGATTGAACTCCTCTATGAGTTGCCTTTGTTGGGTCCTCATCAACAGGCTACTTGGGATGATGATTTGATGGGACTTGAAATCGCTACTTTACATCGTCAATACGCACCCCGCACCCGCCAGTAGATGTTTGTTCAACCCCCCAGGTTGAGATGGATTTCTCAATGTGACAGCAGCTTCTTTGGGGGGGGCCCTTGTTGCCACAAACTCATTTCAGGGAATGGGGGAGAGAGGGAGCCACACACACACACACTGGGGAATGACCCACGCGCGCATGCACACACTTAGGAAATACCCCAATCATCCCTGTAGTGGTCCCCTAGAAGTAGGTCATTCTTTAGCACACTGCCGCCGGGGTACAACCTGAAAGGTTGCACCTAATCATTTTCAAGAGGAGAGGTACCTCACTAGAGAACGAACACGAATTCTCAAGAGTCATTTTCTAGAGAGAGAGCTACCTGGTGAAAATACATGAGCACCAGTGAGCATAGCACTCAAGAAACTTGAGAAGTGTCCTGTGGAGCCTTCTAGACCTGAGATTCTAGAGAAAGGAGTGGTGTTCTGTTTGGGGTTGTACCCCTCCATTTTCTAGAGACCCCTGCTTGCCCGCTGGCTGTACCCCATCATTTTCTAGTGAAAAAGTTTCTCCCACTAGAAAATGAACAAATTTATAATCAACATTCTCTAGAGGCAGCAGGTGTCAGGAACCCTCATTTTCTAAATGATTCTCTAAAGAGTGGGTTGAACGACCCCTCTGTGCTAATATCAAGGGGGATCCCCAATTATGGAGCCGATTAGTCAGGTAATTCACTTTTTACTGCTTTTTGAGTGGGGGTGCCATCATTCAATGTATTCTGAGGGCCCGTCACCCTGACAAGATCAATCGGAGAGAGGGTCGGTTTTTGGATCCTTTAAGAGAAATTCGCGGAAATTGTTTGGTGCGTCCTTGCTCCTAGTATAGCGTCCTCTACAACCCGCGCGCGCGAAAAGGTCCTAGTAGCTTCTTGTTCCAATTGAAATTCGATTCTATATAAATAATTGTGGATTATGTTTTTCCTGTTTCTATTTAATTCTTGTTTATAATAGCTTCTTGCTCCTAGTATGGCCAGGAGCCCCTAGTAGCGTCCTCTACCCCCGCTTGAGGTCAACATGGCTGGAAATGGGCTGGTGCGCCGTGCCTTGACAAGAGATGTCGCCCCAAACTCACTCAGGACCTCCTTACCGGGTCCCTGGGGGCCCCTGGAAGAGGAGTTTGTTGTTCTAGTTCTTGTTGTGTTTTTTTTTCTGGGAGGCCATTGCTACTAGGTTGAAAGCCATCATTTAGGTTAGGTTTTTCATTTCCGGGAGCTGCATCACCAGAAGTAGCGACGCACGATGTCATTTCCCGCTGGACTGACTGATGTGCTCGCACACCTCGAACGAGCACGCGGGGACTCTGACAGTTGCTGGACGACATTAGGGGATACCAGGGGCATCTAGGGACAATTTTTAGGCATATTAAGGAGATCAGACCTGTGGCCCAGCAAGAGTCTGAACTCACAACCCACAGCCCAGGGAGTACGACGGTATGGCAAGTTGGCCTGGCTGGTAGTTGGTGTGCCGGGAACCCTGCAACCACCCTACGACGGGTCACACAGCTTCCCAGAAATGGCACGCAGCACACCCCAACCTTAACCATCGGACACAGAGAGATCTTGCAGAAACCACAACATGTTCTTCCCGTGACATTTTTTGTGGAACTCACGCACTAGATGAAGCGCTCGAGATGAGGTTCAAAGATATAAAGGACGCACAAGACTTTCGGCAAGACATCCTGGAAGCCATCCACAGCAGCAAGACGGCTCGCTGGGCATGTTTGGTGGGGACGAAGTGGGCGTGATACTGGGTCGTTCCTGTAGAACGAACTTTCTAGAGCCAAGGCAGGACATGAGTTGGTGATGGTGGATTTCAAAGTCAAGGTCTGGTTGGCTGGATTCTGGATCCAATGCAAGGGGATTTGTGTGTGTGTGAGCGTTGGCGTGTGTTGGTGTTCAGGTCCAGTTGATGCAAGAGTTGCAAACGTTGCAAGTATTTATGCGTAGCCCAAGAGGAACACTTAATCACGAAAGCCAGCTGATAGGCTAGGCTTGTGTTACTTTCTGATAAAGAAGTGAGTCTTTAGGGGGGTTGGGGGGCAGGCCGGGTAAAGTGGATGTAAACCACGTTGGCCTGCTGGTGTGCTTTTACTTTGCCAAGGATGTGATTTTTGGTGGGTTGATGATGCTCATTTGCATCAGCAACCTTCTCTAAGGACACTCTTGAGTTTATGTGACTATCGAATGTTGGCCTTTGAAACCTTTCGGCATCAATTGTTGATCCATTTGCCTCCCAACTCCTATAAGGATGGCGGAGACCCTGCGGGGAGCTGATTCCGTGGGGGGGACGCTTTGCACTTCCATTGGCTTTCGTTTCCCCCTCCTTAGGTTTGTTCGAACCAAGCAAGCACCACCAAAAGATTAGAAGAGGACACCCTGAATCAGACAAAAGCCAAGAGCAAGTGATAGGCGTGCAGTCAGAAGCTAGTGAGACAAGCAAATCACCTGGGTGGTTTACAGTGAGGAGATTCTCAGTCAAAATGGAGCGTCACAATCGCAACCACAAGGTTTTTTGGGCTGCAATCGGCTGCCAGACTTCGCGTGGCAGGCATTAGAAATGGACTTTTTCCTGGTTCGACGACTGCACAGCATCTCAGACATTCTCAGACCAAAGGGGGCCGAAGGTGTCACCGATTGGCTTGGGTGGACTAATGAGTCATTGCCCTCACGCATGAGCCTGACTTCGGCTCACTGTCACGGAAGTGGAATGATGGCCGCTGCAAAGAGGATATTTTTTACAAGTGTCTACCAATTTGTTTTAATGATCTTTTGTGATGTGCTCGTGGGAGTGTCATGCCTTTGACAGACACTGAGAGACCTCCTGCCTAGCTCCAACCCCTCGGATGCATTCGAAGGGCCTCGCTCGTGGTTCCAAGATCTCCTTGCTCATGTTCGTTTGGGAAAGGAAAAGCTGCCGGCATACGGAAAGAGAACACTGGTGCTCAGGAGTCAGAGTCATAGAGTTTGGCTGATGATGTAGACCCCCCAACCACTGGGTGTTCATCGATGCAGAGACGAACAGATTTGTTGAAACTTCTGTGCCTAGTTTGGCTAACAGAATAGTAATAGCGCAAACATCAAGGTCCAAGGCAGACCTAACTATGTTCATGATGTTCTGACATGTTCTGACTGTTTGACCGCACTCGGAAGATGCGTATTCACGTCCAAATGGCGATCCTCCCTCTCGTTGGTCGGGCGCTCCCGGTGTCACCGAATCCGCCCAACCGATCGAAGTGCCGCCACTGACCACTCCGAGGCATGGCTCGATGTTTGGCGCAGTGCCCTGGGCATGTCAATGTGGACGCAGACCAAACGACGTGGCGACAGGGTTCAAGTCTGAAGGACAAGTGTTTTTTGGTGGGAGCACGGTTCAACTCTTTGTACACACCCCCGGTATATACTTCCAGGAGCAACCAAACCCTAGAATAAAGACGACCTTTTTCCGAAAACCCATACGAGACGACGAAAACCTAGTTTGTCAGCAATGTTCAGAACCCGTATTTATCCCATGCAAAACCTGTAATTTACCAATAAAAAACAAATATTCCGGGAATGTTTTTTGAGAAACCCGGTTTTAGTTGCAAAAACTGAGTTCTTTTCAAGACCTATAGTATGTTTCTAGGTTTTGGATGGTCTTGGTTTTGTATAGTATCACATTGGATTTAGTAACCTTGCGCCAGGTGAATAAGACATGGGTTTTTCATGTTTTGAGCCAGGTGAGTGGAAGAGGGGAGAGAGGGATCAAAGGAGCCGCTGACTCATAGATTCTTTCCCCTTTGTTAGCTTGCTGGTTGATGGCTGTTACCCGTGCAAACCATGACCAACGAGAATCAACATGACCCCAGCGAAGCCCGCTTCAGGACCACACAAACTCAGAACCATCCAAACACGACGAGCAGCTCGCCTAAAGTCGACTTGACTTTCTCCTGTCGAACCACCAAACACTCTAACCACATCAACTACTTCCACGCTCACCTGCATAGCTTGACACCAGGTGCCGTGGTTTCCGTGAGCTGGCTTGGCTCCGGCTCCGCATCGCACCCTTTGCGGAGCTTTCGGGCTTGGGGGCCATGGCTGCCGGGAAAGAGGCCGGAAGAGAGGTTGTAGGAAGAAATATGACCCCGCGATGTTTGCGATATTTCGATGTGGCACAATTTTTTGCAATCGACTGTTGACTGGTTCCTGTTTTTGTGGAATGTCTTTTCAAGACCTGGTGTGTTGGATGATCGGCAATCGGGATGATGTGTTGGATGCAAGGGTTGTTCTTGTTCTATGTTTGTGCTATATCATCATTACGGATATGGCAAGAAGCACTTGATGCATACAGCATACAAGCAGTCACCCAAGATGGCTGGATTTGGCAATCCTAGGGATGGTTGGCTTGTGCTAGCTGCTAGTTTATATATATATATATAATTGGGAAGAAGCAAGCCAGCCTAAGATTTGTCAGACGTTTTTTTTAAAGCATGGCACAACAGTTGATTTGTATAAGTATAAATTATATATATATATGTTTTGGTTTATAGCTTGGTCTACGGTCCGGAGTTGCATGCGGTGCTAGTTGTTGCAGGTGGCTGAAGTTGTTCAAGAAGCAGCTCGGAGACGGGAGCGTTTTGAACATTTGCAACGTGTAATTCAGAGGATTACACACACATAACTGAGACAAACACCAAAAAAAGGAGGTGGCAAATCGTCCCGGGGAAGTAATCCAGGGATATCCAGGGATACTATAGTAATTATCCTGAAAAATACTATATATAATTATATATATATATATATTATAGATGTGACATATAGACCTGACCAAAATGCACAAGAGCCCCTCGAGGCAGGGCCCCCGGCAGGGGTTGATTAGCGTACATGAGTGAGGGCTCGCAAGCCCTCAGTCCTGGGCGGAGATGACGTAGACCATGTGGGATCAGAGGATGGATACACATCAACATCCAATCAAGACAGGTCACAAATTATGACGAGCTCCTCATGACGAATGCTGTTTGCATTTGTTTGCAATGACAGCCGTTTCGCTAAGGTATTGAAGGTGGTGACAGATCTGCAGGACACAAGCTCTAAGAACATGCCATTGGAACTCCAGCTTGATCAGCTCTCGCGGCAAGTGCAGAATCAAGGACTGCAGGGCAGAGGGTGGGTGGTGTGGGCTGTATCCGTTGGGTTCATTTTTTGGCATGGTTGCTGAATGCTGCATGCTGCTGCCTTTGCCCCCCTCCTGCTACTGCTACCGGGCTACATCGTTGTCGTGGTTGTGGTTGTTGTTGTCCTTGTGCTGATGCTGGTGGTGCTGGTGCTGGTGGTGGTCGTGGTCGTGGTCGTCATCATCATCATGGCAACAGTAGAAACCATGTAGGATTCCATATGTGCAATTTTAATTGTCCCGTGAATATTTATTGATGTATCGCATGCCAATCGTTGTTTGAATCACTCACAGGTCTTTTGCTGCAACGCTTGACACGGAGCAAGCGCTTTGCCGGCGGTATTGGAGGCGGTGTGGGCTTGTCGAGGCTTTTTGACACGAGCTGAAAAATGTTTTCAGAGCCTAGAAGGAGAGGGAGTGCAGAAAAGATGTTCCAAGGCATGCGGCAAGTGCAGCAAAAAGAATGACCTGGACCTTTCAACTACAAAAGACATTCGGGTCGTTTTGGTTTCATGGCCGTTTGTTGTTGTTGTTGTTGTTGTTGTTGTTGTTGTTGTTTGGCGCTAGTTTGCGCAGTTTGCGCCGATTTGCAGCGGTTGGCGCAGAAAACCGAGTGAATGACCAAAACAAATTACTCAGAAAGTTACTCATATTTTTGGGTCGTTGGAGGATCCAGGACATCTAATCGACCTTTCGCAGCTAGCACTGTTCTGAGCGCAGACCCTAAACATCCCTAAACACCGCGCTACTGTTCAATACATCTCCAGTGTCCAATTATGTCCAAATTTATTGTTGCCCGTTACGCTAGGTAATGTATGGCGGTAACATATCCCTGTTTTCATTTCCCTTTGGATTCGTTCAATTACTGTAGGATTTTCAGTTGGGTCGATCAGTAATAATGGAGGAAGATGGGTAGGGGACGCATGACTTTACATTGTTTGCCTTGGCCAGTTGTTTGACAAAGATGATGTGTTCTTGCCGCGGAATGATGCATCATTTATTTCATGTATTTGGTGTTTGCTATTTGATATCTAGCTGAGTCAATAATCAGTTGTGTTCTCATTGTTCTCCATCCATCCGCCAGGCTGCCAGCCTCGACTCGCGAGCGTCTCAGAGGAGGCGGTGCGCGCCGCCGCGCAGGGCGAGCAAGCGCCGGCGCCGGAGGCGCTGGAGGCGCCTGAGGCACGAGAAGCGGAGGAGGGAGGAGGGTAGGCGTCGTGGTTTCGACAAGGGTAAGGAAGAATGATGGAGGACATTTCTTGTTCCAATGACCATGTCAGAAAATGAATCAATGAGTGACCGACCGACCTCAGCACTTCGACCAGCTACTATATATAATCACATTTATAGTCACTAGACTACATATAGATGTTTAAAAAAACACCTTGCTGCATGCCCAACCATGTTCAACCCCGGTCCCCAACACCATGTAGTTGCAATCTTTGGTGCGAAACAATTTGTGGCCGCAGGCAAAGCAAGCAAATCAAAGCTGGATCCTCCTCCCAAGTAGCCCTCATCACTCCGTTGAGCTTGATTCCCAGGCCCGGCCGCCGATTCCCACGCTGCCCATCACCACGTCAACGCGAGGGCGGCAGCTCCACCGCGAGGAGCACGGTGATTTGTCCATGCTCCACGCGCGGAGCTCGACCCCGGAAGATCGACCCCTCCGAGAAAACACTGAGAGATCCATCAAGTCTGCGACGACCATCTCCGACGCTTGGGTCTACTTTTTTACTATAGTGTAGTCCAGCTACTTTCAAGTGATCCAAAATACACTAGGCTGCTTGCACCCTGGGGTGTCTCAGAGATTCGGGTCGGGTCCGCTGAGGACAAGTCAATGGGACTCATCACTCCGCGCTCAGAGGGTGATGAAACGCCTCCGCCCATGGTTTATGGTCATCGGCACCACCACAGTAGCTTGGCTGGTGAAAACTCGAGAGAAAACGGACATGGAGATTCATCCCACGGATAAATTCTTGGCAAAGCTGGGAGCAAGCAGAGCGCACGGCACCTGTGCCAGCTGGCAAATCCATTTTGAATGAATATGATTAGACAGGGCCGGACACCGGTGCATGGGGCAATCCCACCCACACACCTGGCACACTTGGCACGGTCATGGACTGGGGCGGTTCTGAAGAAGCCCCAGCAGACCTCAAGAAGATTACGTACATACTGATGGTCCAGACATTGGTGCTATGCTAGCCTGAGCTAGATGCAAAAACATGTAAAAACCGCTTTTAGACATATCAGGCCTTTACGTTACACTTGACTTGGTCTATCAGAACGTACCTGCTTGCCAGTATTTGCCACTGTTCCATGTAAGGAACAATGAGCTCTAAAATTCGCCGGAATGTGTCAAAAACATGGCGACTTTCCTCCGGGTGTTTTTTTGCGATCCTCCGATGTTTGTTGCATTTTCCCAATGCCGATGCCTTGAGGAAACGGCGCGGTGGCGGTGATGGCGAACCAGCTGGCCAACCTACTGCAGGATCAGCGAAGGGTCAGAAGGGTGGAGAGGAGATTTCCCATTGAGTCCTTTTCCGATCACCATTGAAACATATGGACATGATTCCGATATGTCCGATAGACCATGTAGACATGGGTGGAGATGGCCAATTCTGGCGGAACTCTTTTCTCTTTGTATATTTGTGTCAGATTTATGTACCCAGCCATCCAACTGAAGCTTTCGGTGGCCTGGTCTCAAGAGTTCTGCGACCAAAAGCACCTACTAAACTGTACTAGACCATATGGCCAGGCTTATCCGGGTACAAATGCAGCAACCAGTCGTTAGGGATAGTTTCCCTAATTACCATTTTTTCGAGCAAGGTTGACGTCTATATGTCGTAGTGACACTGACTGAGGAAGTCGCTGTAAGTGACCAAGTGTTGGACATGCTTGACTTTGTTTCCTTTCCTTTGGCCTTTGGTTCAGTAAACTCCCCGCACGAGTTGTTCAGGCCCAGCAGCGCTTTAGTGCCACACTTCCGGACATACCACGTCAGGAGGACTTCCACAGGCAGGACCTCAAAACATCGAGCAATGCACAGCTTGATGCCATTGGTTTTTGTTTGCTGAGATGGTTTGAGTTTGATGAGCACTTGTCACCATTTGCACCACACATCGCGGATCCAAATGCTTTGTCGAGGCAGCTTCTTTTGGCCTTGGAACATGACTCGCGTCCAGGGTCAAACCGCTTCTTGGACTGGACTGGGATGTGATGGATGTGACATGCACCGGACGGCCACCGCTACTAGGTTGGAGGCCATCGCTCTTACGTGGAGTGGAGGCCATTGCCATTAGGCCGTTTGGACCATGTCCGCCGGTCCCTACGGGAGTCCCTGCGGCTGGTCCGCTTGTCGAGGCTCGTCCCAACACCCGATCTCAGGCTCGTCGAGGACGTCGGACTTCTCACTGAACCGACTTTCGGCACCTCAGTGGCAGTTGGAGCAATGTTCGGACGGTGAGATGTGAGACATGTTTCAATGTTTCATGACAGGTGAATCAGGAGTGACGGCTGTTGTTTTAGGTGGCTGTATTTAGAATAGTTTCAGGATGTTTCAGGATGCAAGGCATTGCAAGGCTGATGCAGGCCCGTTTCCAAAAAATTGTGACACGCGGCCCACTCTCAGACTTTCAGTCTCACATTTTGCGACCGCACTTGGCTCAGTTATTGCTCATCTTCTGCGATGCCAATTTACATGTGGAGACTGATAAGATTGTGTTGACTGGCCTTTTAGCCATGGCAAAATCCAATGAACAACCGAGACAAATCATCAGCACCAACTGCAGAGCAAAGCCTGCAGTATGCCTGGTGTTGTGCTGCTTGGTATCAACATTATCTTCGCAGATGCTGCTTCTCAGCTGCTTTGCTGAATCATGCCAGCGGCACTCACGTGGCGCCGGCCTGCGGACAAGTATGAAGGTGCTACAGAGATCCAGAAACAATCAACAAGTAAGAGCTCAACACAGGCTGGAGAGAAGGCTAAAGTTTGAGGAGACAAAGTCTTTCAGTACAGGCCATGACCCACAGCACTTGCTCATGCGATTGGAGTTGATGCCAGCTCGGATTTGCTTCAGAAGATTTTCAAAGTTTTAAACTTTTAATCCATTATGCCATCATCCATTGGGCACCCCAGAAACTAATGTAGATAAAGACATGTGTCTCGATGCTCGCCATGTGCGACCTGATCAGGTCAAAAGGTCAATTGAAGGGCTTTGCGCCTACGGTGCTTGAGAGCTACCTTGACCAACACGGAAGGTCCAAAGACTTAGCGTTTGAATACGCCATGCGAGGGGAAGCAAGACTAGGGCGCACAGACGGCATTGAAGAAGTTCTGTCGCGGGGAAATTCAGAGGGCATGACCAAAGCCAGACTGCTAGACTTCGCGGTGGAGGAGCTTTCAAAATGCGGCTTTTTTAGTACAGTGGAGCACTATTTCCTACTTTTGAGGCCAAGTCAGAAGAGGTTAGACCACCTGTTTCATGCGGCAATCAAAAAGAAAAACATTTCCGCCGCTGAGAGGGTATTGCGCCATATGGATGAGGAGGGCTTCGTTGTTGACAAGGTTCATTTTGAGCAGCTCTTGCAAGCCAGCGTCCGCGCAGAAGGCGTTTGGAAAGCAGAAAGGCATGTGAGAAAAATGGTGAGCCGAAGGCCGGTTCGGTTGAATCACTCAGTTCACCATGATTATGAGCAATATCAGCCAGACTAGGCGATACTAAAAGCACGTCATTACTTCGATTACTTTCGGTGATGTACATACCAGATAGATACATCCAGATACCAATACAGTACAGTAGTAGTCCCTTCGACTTTTCATGCTTGCAGAATCATTACACCATGCCATGCAAGCCCAATCACCCATGCCTTGTCAGGCTGGAACCCACCGAACGGATCTATGGCACACTCCTTGATGCCTATGGCAGCAAGGGAAACGTAACTGCCTGCATGAGGCTTTTGCGGGGCATGAAAGAGCACCACCTTCAGCCGCAGAACATGCACTACGGGCAGGTCTGGTATATATAGAAGCAAGGTCATGTGTGTGTGTGTGTGCGCCAGGATGGAGATGGAGGGCACCCTTGGAGAGTACAAAGAAAAACATGAACCTGTCATGGACTCCATTGGCCACTCTTGGACTATGATTAAGTTTCCATCCAGCAACCTTTTTCCCGACTTGTTTCGCTATGAGACCTGAAGCAATGATTGTTCATCCTCACCCTGCCCAGGTCTTCAAGGCGGCTGCGAAAGTGAGCGAGAGTCAAGATCATAGCTTTTGCCTGGAACAGGTGCTCCGGACCATGATGGCAGAGCGTCTCCGTCTCAATGACGCCAACCGAGCTGACCTGCTCCGGGCTGTGGGGGAGCCGCGTTACAAGGAGATTTGCCGGAGCTGTGATCTTCGATCCAATGTGAAGAGGCGAAAGAAGACGAAAGAATTGGAGAAATAATTGCTCGGCAATTTTTTGAAGCCCGGGGGGTGGAGCTGAATTCAACTAACCCTCTCCGTGATATTCGCAGCAACGGAGTGCCAGCACTGGCCGAAGTTTGCTAAGTACTGTGCACCCGAGGAGTGCGGTCGATTGTTGACCAAGAGACGGCTTATGAACGAAAAAAATGATAAGAGCCGGTGCAGGGCAGTGCCCCCGCACTTTGAAACAAAGCCACACACCCACGCACATCACACCACTTTCTCATTTTTCTCAACGATTGTGCTTTCATGTGTAAGTTACAGCTGCTACTAGCATCTAATTTTGCACAGTTTGTTTGAGAGAAGTGTCAAAAGGTCAGCACTCACTTTCTATGTTTTAAGCATAGGTTTCCCTGGGGGATCCTGAGAGCATTGATACAAATCCAACAAAACGGTACAGGTACGACATATTCTTCTTAAGCGCATTTGGGCATCAGTTTGATCATATATTTGCAGACTCTGCCATATCTAGATGCTGGTCAATGTAGGCATGTATTCCTCGACTAATGTCTATAGAGATGTCTAGAGAACTCCCCATATAGCCCCCCAATGTATATGCATGTATTTATGCTGTTTGGATAGGTGGCAATGATCTTAAAACTGTATAGTTTTGCCAGGATTTTGATACATTTGATCCTGCGTTTGCTCGCCATTTTGCAAGACACGGCTCAGTGGCCACGCAAGAAGTTAGCCCTGATTTTAGGACGAGAAGCAGGGATACAGAACGATACAGTTTAAAGTGTAGATGCCTCCGTAAGGCAGTTGCCAACTTGCATGGCTACGACTTTTGTTGCGAAGTGCCGGTCATGGTAATTATAACAAATGAAAAGCACGTCAACACGTCGGGAGCTTGTGCAATGCAAGCACGTAGCATTATTCACTTGGCCTTGGTGTCATTTGTGCCTTTTCTTTCGCCCCCCCCTTCACTTGAGTGGGGTGGAAGAGAAGCCGCAACTTGCTGGGTGAACATCATTATCATTTTGCAGATCCATAGACAGTTTTGCTTTTGCTGGTTGCCGACTTAGCTTCTAGAGAAAGACGCCAGGTTGGTAGTGCCATGTCATCGATGGCCAAGCGGGCCACACTGGTTAGAACAACCTTGCCCCAAAGCCGTCGAGATCACGAGATCGTCCATGCTGGATTTTTTGTGTGGAGACCTTATTTTAGTATAGTTTAATGTGTAATATGTTCAATCTGTTGTATTATAAGTATGCGTATATTAGAACTAAACAACATTCTAAAAGAAAAAACACATAAACTAACATAAAGTATATAAGTTAAAATAAGCCACGTTCAACCCCCTTTGGATCCCAACATCTCCCAATGCAAATGGTTGATCCTCGACGACGCCCCTTCACCGGCGAGGTCTCCAGCCCCTTCACCGGCGAAGAGGCCATTTCTGGCGGCCGGGTTTGCAGAGACATGCTACACGCCTCGAGACCAACCTGCCCAGAGTGCGCGTTATTGAAAAGATTCAACACATCTATTGGTTTAGAGGCTCTATGTTGAAATGTACAGTATGTTTTGTTGAAATAAACCAACAAGAGCTGTTGGTTTGAAAAGTCAAAAGTTATTGTATTTTTCAACACACATTCTTGATGTAAAACAACAAAATTTATTGGTTTGCAATCAAGAGCAAAAGAGTTCCTAGTTTTGAGCAATTACATATATTTTCAGTTTTCAACACCCAAAACATCAGGCTCCTAGTTTTGAGTCAAGTCAACCAGGTAGCTAATCAGGTTTATTGGTCTTCAGCACCCACAACAGAAGGTTTTTGGCTTTGAACATCCAAAGTTCATGTTCTTGATTTGTTTCTCAGCAAGTTTCGTCATGATCCTGGAGGGTCTCAAACTCATTCAAAGGGTTGTGTCCTGCAAAAGGACTCATCATAGCAGGCAGGGTCCTGCAAAAGGGCTCATCAGGCAGGGCCCTGCAAAAGGGCTCACCATGGCAGAGCCTGTGGAGATGGATGTCCTGGATTGTTTAGACCAGGACTTGATCAAGGGCATTTCCAGACCAGGATGCAACAAGCATTGGTGTTACATCCAGTGCTCCACTTGCAACAAAGGGTGGATCTGGAGCAGGAAGCTGAATGGGGTGGAAAACTGGACCTTGAACTGCTACATATGTGGCGGCTCATGGAGGGACAGCTACTGCCAAAATGGTGGCTGGCACTACTGGAACCCCATTCTGAAGAGGCCTGAATGAGCCACACCTGCATGGCCCTACACGCCTTGGTCCCTGCAAAAGGGATCCATTGGCCCTGAAAAAGGGAACCCTTGGAGAACGCACAGCTTAAGAAAAGGCTGTTAGCAAGGTGTTGGAAGCTCTTCTGAAGACATTGAACCAGCCACCTCACAGCATGTTCCAAATTGGCCATGTATGCAGGCCCATGTTGGCTCTGACCTCAAACTTGTGCCTTGTGGCCCTGCACAAGGGCTTTGCTGTGTCCTGCAAAAGGGCACCAAGCAATGGTTCTCATGAAAAGCTGTAACAAAAAGGAAAAGGGGTGGCAACCAAGCACCTAAAAGGACACCCTTCCCAGAGGTCTCCCAGGAGGCTTTGGACACTGCCATGCATTCCTATTGCAGGCAGATGGGTGTGAAGGAAAGCTTCAACCTGTACAGGTACAAGCACCTCCAACCTCAACAGGCAGAGGATGCTCAAAGCATAGCAAAGCTGGGCAAGCTTTTGGAAGTGCTCCTCTCTGTGAGCAGCAGTGCCAAAATCAAGTACAAGTACTTGAAACAGAGTTTTGTCTTCCTTCTCCAAGCCTGGGGAATGGAGCTTCTGAAAGCTCACTGGGAGGTAGAGGACAGTATGCTTGCAGGTCGTGCTGCAGACTCAGTCAGGCCTGTACACTGAGCTAGGCACAGACTCCTCTCACCAACTCGGGAGGATTCACTTGTCCAACTTCTGCCAGCCCTCCAACAAGTGGAATGTGTTTCCTGAGCTTTCAGGAGTGAAAGCCAAGCAAGTGAGATACCTCATTCCTCCAATTCTGGAGTTGTGCAAAGACTTGCAGGGTGACAGCCCATACAGAACATGCAGAACAGACTGTGTCAGCAACCTGAACAAGATGTACCACATCATGGATTCTGAGGGGTTGCATCCTCAGGAGTCAGCCTACATGCAATATAAGAAGGCCACTGAGAAGTGTTTGATCTGCTACACCAAATTGGCCAAGATGACAATATCCCAGAAGCTTCTTCAATGGAGCGCTGTACATAAGCACCACTTGAGCTGCCACATGATCGAACAGTTCAGATTCACCAACAGCAGGTTTGTGTCCACCTACACAGGAGAAACAATGGTTGGTCTTATGTCATCTCTTGCTCACAGTTGCCTCAATGGCACACCTGGGCATTTGGTACCAACAAAGGTGGCCTGGAGATATCGTTTGGGCTTGCATCTCAGGTTGGCACATGGTGACCTGGAGGTGATGGAATCTGATGAAGAACTTTGAGAGTCAATCCTGCAAAAGGGTTGCATCTTTGGTCCTGCAAAAGGGCTTGCAGTGGGTCCTGCATGGTCCTGTAAAAGGGCTACCAGACTGTCTTTGTTTCACTGTGCCCTGGAAAAAGCAACAGCATGTGGCACCACATTCTGGCAACTGTGAAAATCTGTTCAATCTCTTCAGGGTCCCAAGGTCTAAACCAATAAGGTCCTGTTGAAACAAACAATAAGGATTCTGTTGGTTAATTCAACAGTGGTTAGGAAACATGCACCTTCCTATTTCAACAGAATTTAGTGATTCTGTTGAAACCCGTCCTAGTGTTGAAGTGTACGATTTGTGTTGAATCTTTTCAATAACACGCACTCTGGGTGGTTTATGGTTTATACAGACCTGGTTTCGGTAAACTCTAGAAAATCATCCCAAAAACCTAGCAGAATGTACTCAGAGCGTTTTGCTCCAATGCCAACCAGTGGTTTTGCACTGGGAGTTTGCTACCAATAGACTTCCGAAATTTGAGCCAAGAGTTCTGTTTGAGGGGAGCACACCTCAGGCGAGATAGCGACATGTTTTTAAAGAACCTGCCTAATACTGAACACTAAATTCTTGGCGAATTTCTTGAGATGTGAACTTTGGTGCAGGTGCACATCGATCAAAATACTACCCTCACAAAAACATCCCGCAGTAGATAACCCCTGTCTGTGACACTGGCCCCTGCAGACTTAAAGTCAAAGGGTTCTGAGCTTATGGTGGTCCTCTATTTGCGTGTGAACTGCCTGTGCTGGACTCACTGCGCCCACGATCAACCCAGGTGCGACGCTTCCCGCACGTTCGGGAGCAGCTGTGTGAGAGCAAAACCCTTGAAGTCGCCAGGATCATCAGTGATCACTTTGCTTGACCGGCATTATTTGCAAGGCATGCTGTTGCTTGAGTGACTCAAACGATGATCATGGGATCCTTGGGCAGATTTCGAGCTGTAACGGGATGCTTCGAACCTGCGAAGTACTGGTACCTACACCCATGAAGCAAGCATGATGTGCTAAACGTTGTTGACAGCTTCGAAAAGGCGGGTTTGACTTATCATGCTAATGGTTTCCTTAACACATGAATCCCAGCCTAAAGCACGCAGATTTGGTCACCAACTGATTCGAAGGTCCTGGTGGGATTGTCAAGTCAAGCGTGGATGAGAACTAAAACACTTCATTTGAGGAGCGGAGGGGGTGCAGCTTCAATCACTATAGTGAGACACATACACACATGATAATGTATGCCTTATGCCAAGGCCTGAGGGCCTGCCAGATCCGAGAACGATCGTATTGAAATTTTAAAGTTTGTGCAAGGTGCCAATCAGTTTTGGGAACCTTGGCGCTTCTTGTCGAGGTGCAGCGATTCTCCCCTCGTGTGCTTCTGTGGCTTTCTGAAATGTGAGACGTTGTAACAGGAAGTTGGTGTGAATGAAACAAACCTTGAAGTGGGACGGCTACCATATTCCTTCTTCCAGGTTTGTTTCAAGCCCTGAAGGTTTGAAGTGGGAGGAGCGCTGAGTGTGACAGAATTGGTTGGCCGAGGCATGGTTTAAATTTTAGATTTCCTTTCTTGTCACTCAAGAAGTGCAAGACCTCAGAGGCTTGACTTTTTGGAGCCCAAATCCTTTGGGAGGCAGTGGCCTAGGATGACCACGGGAGAGTGGTGCGTTCTTTCAGTTCCACATGGACGGAGAACCTACTAGCAATGGCCTCCAACCTACTAGCGATGGCCTCCACCATTGGGCCATGGTGGCCTTCTTTCCCTGTCACACATTAAGCCATTTCGCATTTCATCGAAACAACCCGGGCTGGACGACCCTCAAGCTAGGAATTGAAAGCTTGTGAGCCAGCCTCATGCCACATTTGATTTTGGCTGCATGCCCGTCATTTAGAGGAACTCACCAAAGAACAAGAGAGGGAAAACGTTCAGTCAGCCTTTTGCCAACCGGATGGCTGGATGGCACCAGTGAATCGGCGACGCAATCGATACATTGGTTGCCTAAGCCAAGTGGTGCATTGAGAGTTTGCGTGCAATGTGCAGACCCCTCTTGCTTCGCTCGCGCAAGAGCTGACAAGAAAAGGACGGCGTCTACGTGGCAACATGTGGTGCCACTCTTGCAAGGATCGACAAGGATGGTTCTATTTAAACACCTTTTATGAGGGTGCGCGCGCGCGCGAGTATGTGTGTGTGTGTGTGTGTCGCACTCCGTGTCCAGGAGTTTAGTTTTTAAAATGCAATCTGCAGGGGGCCATCCCTCTCACCAGTGGTGGATGGCCACCGAAGAGGCCACTGGTGAGGGCTGCAAACGGTACCTGCTGATCTAATTAGGGCAACAGAAGGAAATGGTACTCGACACACTTGTGTGTCGGTGCCTTTCCTTCTGCTGACCCTGTTCTAGTCTAATCTACCCGGGCGGCTTAAGACTAAAGGCCCGCTCCCTAACTATCGCACGTAATTAAGAACCGCTAAGTAATCAGTAACTAGAGTGCTCAGTATTCAGTAACTAGCTTCTGAACATTGTTCAACATTTCAAGTACGCTGACCCCTTCACCTTGCTGTTCCCTCGTTCCTTTCCCTGTCGATTCTGACATTGGATGAACCTGTGACTAAGTGTGTATCGCTGTGTTTTCCCACTGGGGTGCACAGTGTGATCCTCTCGCAAGAGAGGTGCTGAAGCCTTCGTGAGTCACATATCGACTTAGCGTTTTTTGAGTTCTGGGACTATGGTTTAACTGAATTGTTTTTCACCCAATGAATCAACTGAACCATATTGCCGCCGGGCGTACGGAGAATGAACCCCCACCCCCAACCCCTCCCCTCTTTCCTTCTGACGGCTTCTTCGTTTGTTAGGTGTTTCTTCAGGGTTGTTAGCTTGTTCGAGAGGCTCGTTTCCGTACCCCTCTTGTTTTGCTTTACTTCTAGTTCTAAGTAGGGTAACAGGAGGAAGAGGCATCATGAGTCAAGCATGACCGGATTTCATCCATTTGGTATGTGACGAGGCAGCTGGCCCATTGTTCGGGAAGTTAGCTCGTGAAGTTTTGTTCACTTGATCAGGTGAGATGTGGATTTCACCTGTGGCCGAACACGGGCGCTTCCAGTTGAATGCATGCAAATGTGGGAAGAAACGGTTCGCTTGTTTTCCCTACAGGTTTCCGTTGAAACTTTTCGGTCCATGTCCGTCCAGGGCCAAAAGCCCCACAGGTGTCGTCATGAATCTCCACAGAGCTGGTGCCCCATGGTTTTTGGTGTAGACTGCTGCCATGTCCATGCATCAGCGTCGGCTCATTGCTATGAGCAAACTCATTCGTGAGTTTCCATTGCACTCTAGTGTTGCACACCGACAGCACACGAGTGCAAGGCCGTTGTTTTTGTCTCGCCTCGCTTTAGAGACCTTGTCGATACCAGTGGTCCAGTATGGTCCAGTGGTCCTGCAATCTCAGAGACGCAGACGGTGTGCCGTATGTATTCAGATCAATTCAGATAAATATTTACCTTATTTAACCTTCACGAGGCACAGTAATTCAAACTGATTGTGGAACTGGAGCAGTTGATGCTGAAACCTGAATACTGTATATCGTTTGCGGACCACGTTGGACTGCAGCAAAACGAGGTGCCACAAATACCAGAAAGCCTGACCCAGCCAAAAATTATCAAACATATATATAATAACATCGCGGCAAACAAAGTCAAGGTCCAGAAGGCCTTTGAACCGGCCAGGAGGCATTGGTGAGGGATGATTTTGCTAAACCAAGATTTCGGGGGGCGCATTCTGCGGAACAAAGGACCGCCGCCCAGGTGTGTTCACCAGACATCGACGGTGGAACAACCCAATGCCTGGGCCTCGGTCGCCTCGGTTCGGTCGAAAAGAAATGACACGAAACATGATTGCACAGACACCAGTAGCAGAGTAGCATTAGCTTCTCAATAATTTTGGAGATCGTATTTGGACCCACACTGTCGCCCTTCAATTGTTCAAAGATGTTCAAAGTATGTGGCAATAATGTTGATGCATTGGTGGTGTTTTTCCTTTTATGACATGGGACATGTTGAGTGGCCAAGGCAGAAATGGAAACCAGTGTTGAATGTCAAAGTCACAAGTGGCTCGGCAGCCGCTCAGGTGCCGTCCAATGGAGATGTGTCAATGAGTGGAAATGGTGAGCAAGAGAAGAAGAGGTTGGACCATCCTGGGCCTCTCGTGAATGGGAAGGCTAATTAACAGCAATCTACCGCCAGAAAGCTGCAGCGATGTGATGGATAATGCCATGGATGCCCCTGAAATCATTGGAAGAGCTGAACGGAGATGAATCCTGAGTCTATCGGAGCTCCATGCCAGGGGTTCAGAGAGAAACTCTAATAGACTCTAGCAGTTGAAGTGCTACTTAGGGCAACTGCAGAAGCTGTGTTTTTTACATTTTGCCAGCAAAACCCGCCTGGCAGGGGGAATGGCACCGAAGTGCCTGCGGCAAAGATGAAGGCGCGACAGAAGGGTGAGATTGAACATAGCCCTCCTGGAAGTTGGCCTCCCGAATGAGCATGGAAGTGGATGGCATGGCCCTTTGATGACCATTTTCCGAGCCTTCTTCCAGGAGCGCTGCACTTCCTGGAGCCATCATGGAAGTGGAAAACCACCAATTTTGTAGAAAATTCAGATCTCACCATGTTCTTGATCGATGAGCTAATGTTCAAGCCCGCAGCCTGTACGGGTAAAAGGGAGCAATCGTACTGATCCAGTTCTTGCCGTGGACAGGATGGTGGCCCTTTAGTTAAACAGTAAATGGAACAAATGTTCCAATGATTGTAATGTACGGCGTTTGCGATTGATCGTCCATAGTTGAATGCTCCATGAGAATGTGCGCTTCATGAAAGGCCGGTCACCGGTCGGATGCTATTAGAAGAGTCCAAACATGCACGCTTACAGGGCATTGTTGGGATAAATTTGGGAAAGCAGTTTAATGCGGACAGTTGTCAAATCGTATATTCAGATTGTCGCCGAGGTTTATTAGTGTCCCAAAGCAGTGAGGTTCAGCTTGAATTTGTTCTGTATCGATCTGAAGCAGAATTCATTAGGTCATATTGGGGCTAACCAGTGGATATGCATTCATCAACCGAGCTCTTCCACCAAAAGCATCCCTGGCAACCAGCCTCAGGAGCCCAAAAGCAAGGCGAAATCCGGCGATGTCGTGGGCCAGAGCGAACGGTCCACAGAAGTGGTGAGATTTCAACATGCTCAGTAACACGCTCTTAACTAGTAGCGATGGCCTCCACCTAGCTTCTTGCTACGTTCGCAGCTTCTTGCTCCTAGTAGCGATGCGCTTTGTTACTAGTAGATCGGTGGCCGTGCCATTGAGTTTCAATGTTGTACTGATACATGCGTCAGAGCATGGTTGGGTTTACGACTTTGTTCGGTGTGAAATGTTCATGTTGACCCAGAACTTGTTCCTGATCCTCTGGCTCCTTGTTGTCGCATGCACCACCTTTTCCTGGATCAGAGAGGGAGGAGGGCAAATTGGGCAAACATTGAAAGAGGCACATGTAATTAACAAAAATTACTGTAACATAAGTTTCAAGGACAAAGTTGGGCAACGTGAAGCCTCATTCAACGATATCAAACAGGTTTACAGAGGAGCGACTGATGTGCGTCTCAGATGTGGAGGATGCAGCTTGAATAGGTGTTCCAAGATGGTTCGACAATGTTTGACTGCTGTTATCACTATCAATGTTCTACCCGATTCTACCCAGGCTTAGCAGCTAACCCGTAACTTCTTTTGGATTGGTTGTCCTACTGACCAACTGCTCATGAATGGGTAGAAAAGCTATGAAACGAAGAGGATTGAAAAGGTATATAGAACCGTAAATTATATGTTGTAGAGAAAATGAGGAGATCAGCATCCATCTATATCCCTATTTTTCCCTCGCGCTTCAACAGGGAAAAAACACATGTGAGGCTGGTAGTTAGTGATGCTGGCTTTGCTTAGGGTGAGAGATTTGGGTCCTTGAGTTCATGGTGGACATGGCCCTAGCGGGAATATTAATGGAGCATACGGATGTTTCGGCTCGAAAAAGCTTTCTGACAGAGGCTTTCTCACCTGAAATCTCTCAAACGATCGCTTTCGTGTGCCAGCAATGACTTTCCGGCTCGCGCTTTTCTTTGCCGCGTGGTATGGAAGTGGAAGTGTTGAGGTTGTGCCCGCGGATTGCCCGGAGGGCACTTGTGAGGATGACAGCGTTTTGATGCAGATGGGCGAACTGCATAAGAGGATGTCCATGGACGAGAAGATGGCAATCTCAAACATCATTGAGAGTCTTGGTTGGTCATTTCATTCATGTGACATGTCCAGACTCATTCCACAGATGCCCCCAATTGTGGAAACCATTTCAAGAAGTGCAGAGATTGGTTGTTTTTGAATGTTTTTGATGTTGGCACCCGTGCCCTCACACGCCCCGATGCGTCGTGGCTGCCAGGAAGGCTTTCTCCCACATCACAGGCTCCGGAACCTATTTGAAGAGTTGGTCCAACCGAAGTGGTCCATACCATGAGATCGAAAAAGCCTTTGAGAAGGTTGATGGCTTGGGCGAGTACTTCGCTCATGATATCAAAGAGGACCGGGTAGAAGCTCTTCGTGGGCTTGGGGTTAGCCAAGGTCGCTGCTAGCCAATTCAAGCTGAACATGGGTGACCGATCGCACGATGGCTGTCTCGTTTCTAGGAAGACAACCCTGATGGCTGCAGATAGGTCTTTAAGCCTTAAGCATCCTGAAGCATAAGAAATGAATTTGGGAGTTGAAGGGTGGGACCTAAGCTACGCGACTTGTAGCCATCACCAGCTTGCTTTGGGGAGGCACTACTCGCCAACTTAACGCCAAGACGAATCCTTTCGCGCTTTCCCATGTGCACAATTTGCCAGAGAGTTGGCAGGTGCTGGGCCCTCCCCACATCTCCCCACCCACGCCCTGGAGGTGGTTCAAGGGACGCTACCACACAACGCCAAACATCGAAAACTATTAGCTAATCGCACAGTTACAGCAATCGCACGACACCCCAAGGTGCGTTGTTGAAGCCAACACACGATGCCGCAGCCGATAAAGGCCGGCCATGTGGCCAAGCCATAATCAGGCCCGTTTTGTGCGTGGATCCATCCTCTTCGGATCCCTTCGGCAAATTCCAGAAAACCTGGCCACAACTAAAACCAACCAAGCTAATAAGGTCAAAGCACTTTCGTACATTCATTAAGTTTTTGTCCACCCATCTGCATGGAAGCACTGCTTACCAGAGAAGATTCTGGCTTGGTTTTCTTTGTCCTTTCCACCAATAGTAAAGCACTCACAGCAATCCTGCACCCTCCTTGAAGTCTCGACCCAGTCGTCTTATTTGATGTGATGAATCACTAGCCCATCAAAGGCCCTAATCATTGATTCCCCTGAACACTTTTGAGATGTTTTGCGAACATGTCAGAACTGGAACCTTGCACTCCCTGTGCAGGATGCCACGTGGCAGAAGTGCACCAGCATCAACTGGACAAAGGTGGCCACCCTCAACACAGTCGACCAAGCTGGTATTTGGCAAGTTCTTTTTTGTGCGCACGATTCAGCATGCGATGCACCACCCTACACAGCACCTTCCCACGTGTTCATTTTGTTGGTAGATTTGTTTAGTGGGTCACTCACCATCATCAAAATCCGCGCTTCGTGGGAGTTTGGGACTATACGGACTCTACCGACATCACAACGTATTGATAATATTGAGAAGATTTACGCATCATCATGAGATGGCCCATGACTCCCAGGACTTCCATGCTATTCACCCAAACGGAACCCTTTTCTGTTTCGGCCGACCGGAGCTGGCCATTTTCGTCCAGCGCTGGGACTCAGGTGGAGGGGAAGCTGGAACTGCCCTCCGTAAAGGCAATGCTTCAGGAGTTGGAGCTGGAAAAGTGTTACCCGGCCGAGACTGTTAGAGGGCCAGACTAGCCGGGCCCCACCCCAGCTGCACCTCACCTGTGGGACCGCGCCGTCCGACCGCTGGGACCGCGTTCCCGTCCATCTCCAGCGGTCGGACCGGAGATCTCGCGCTTTTTGAGAAGAGGTCCCTCTAGCTCTACTGCATTTGACGAGTATGTCTTGTATAGTTTGAGTCTCCGATCTGCAATGATGCTCAAATCAAGAATTGCGGGAAGGGTGGGAACTGCGTAAAATGCTGTGCCTGCCACTTTATTTGCATGTTATCTTTAGCGAGCACACGTCCTTTGCTGTCAAGTGAGTCGTTTGGGCAATTAAATTATATACATGCGATTACCATGATTGCACCGTCGGCCTGATTTCACGAATTAGAAATCACCTTTTGGGAGATTTGGAAGGGTGGGAACTGCATAACTTTTCTGCAGGTTATCCTCACGAACACATACTTTGCCATCAAACGTTGCTGGTGGGACATAGACTTGCCTCAGGGAAGAATGCTGTACGAAAGAATGACCAGCACATGAGCATTATGTGAGACCATGAACATCACCAATACGAGAGATTATGAACACCCTGCACATGGTCGGCACAGCATGGCCGACTGTTTTTTGAAGATATCCCAGAAAGGGATAGAAAGGGTTTGAAGATGTTTCAAAGTTGGTTCGCAAAGATTGATGAAAGTGCTCAAACACAAACGACCCTTATTGCATGAGCCCTACTTGACCCTCTACTTGCATCATTTTGCATCATGATGTTCAGGAGGCTCTTCGATGTACCCTGTCATGCCGTACATGTTTTCCCTTTTTGTCGAGCACCCTTCTTTGCCTCGGATTCAACCCCTTGCAGGGATTCACCCGGACACGCGCTGAACAAAGTAGACTGGGTCGACGTGTGCAAGTATGCATGGGCAATTTGTGGCAGAATGCGTTCGCCGCTGGTGCGGTTTTTGGTCTTTGGCGATTTGCACGGACCACATTCTGGACTAGTCAAGCTTGAGGGTCGTTATTGCACGTGCCGATGACATCGAAACTCAGCCCGGCTCAACTGGTCGTTTGCACAGCAGCTGGTCGCTTGTCCGTTGGCCTAGGTTGGTGCCCTTCGGATGTGCCACTGAGCTGCACAATGCTTGGGACCATATATGTGCTTGCTTGATCGCGACGGCATAGAACCAGCCAAGCCTGCTAAAATAGCATTTCTATATGTTTGCGTGCGGGTCGATGGAAACATGCCAGGTAATTCCAGTACGTGCAACTTTATAGTAACTATGCTGTTCATTTTGGGTTGTGCACGGGGGTCCGTTTAGCCTCTCCAACAAACAGTCGGATGGAAGATCATGAAAGTGGAGTTAGCCGCTTGGAAGACGTTCGACCTGCCAAACAATTTTCTCTCTACATTGAAAGGCTACCCGGGAGCAATCTCTAAGCTTGGTCAGTCTGAGAAGCTCTCGATCCATGTTTCCTATCCTTGCTGCTCTCCAGGTGCAATGATGACACCTGCAAGGCAGCAGCTCATCTCGAAATACGACCTGTGACGTGCAAACTGTAATAGAAACCTGCACTGGAGATTTACATAGGCCCCCAAAAAAGCACTATGTTGTACGGGAAAATGGTCGGTTTACCACAGGTCAATTCTCAGGGTACCTCCAAGGTTGCGTATCGCTTGTCCCTCTTTACAGAGGATTGCACTTCCCTGTTTTGAACGACAGGGCGGTAACAGTTGAAGCAATCAGCGCACTTGAGTTTCATAAGCACATATAGAATCATTATACATAGAGTGGAGCACTGAGTTGGTGGTTTTTGCTCACATCTGAATCTAACTCTTTGTTAGATGGGGCTGGTGGAAGTGACATTTTGGCCATCGCGGTCGTACCGAGGTCCGCGCTGCTATCGATGTGGCCACCTTGCTGGCCAACTCTGAGTACGACCCCGTCCCCGGGCACGCGAGGTGTCGGTGCTCGTTTGGTCTTCGTGTTGAGCTGAGAAGGATGGTTTGGTTCACCACAAGCGGCCGTGCATCAGGGCGCGTGGCTTCTTTTCGCTTTTAAATGTTTTTCCTCGAGGAACTGCAACAAATTCTATATTAAGTCTTGGCAATCAAAGGTGCAATTCAGGTGGAATTTCTTCAACTGGGCTGGGTATGCTTTGCTTTTCCAGCACGTAGCATTGTGAAGTTCATAACCTGCCGCGCTCACCCCGAGAACCCGTTTG